CTAAGCAAAACTGGGTTCCTGGTTAATGGGAGATACCCTTTACAAAAAGGCAGAAAATAATGTGTTCACTGCTTACTGAGATTTTTATCATAAATTTTAATTTAACTTTAATTTTGAAAAAAAAAAAAATTTCCCTCCCTCCCTCCTGGGTCTGAAACCTCCCAGGCGGCAATTCCAAACACATTTTTTTAAGGATGGCCTTAGTACACAATTTTTGTAAGTGCTACAATGATTGCTTAGTTTCCTTTTTTTAAAGTACTGGTAAAAGCAGGCCATTTCTTTGAAACTGTTGTTTTTATTTCACTAACAGTTACTTATTGAGACACAGGGGAAAACCATTGTGGTTGAATTAAGGTTTACCTTTAAGTTTGTGGTAAATCTGGATGGACGCACTTAACAATCCCCAAATTTGTTCAGATTAGTTGTAACGTACCCTTATTATAAGAAAACTGACAGATTCTCAAGACATGAGAGTTTTTTTCTCTCTAGATAATGGAGAATCAGAATGCTGATTATACAGCAGTAAGAAAATAAAGTGTTAGAAATAATTTTTTCTTGTTTTGATTTGACTTCTGTGGATTTTCCAAGATTTCCGGAAAGTGTCTGACGAAAGGAAATCTCCACTTCTATGGATTATAATTAAAGGTTTCTGTTCACAATTTTCAATTCAACAACACTCAAGCAGGATACAGACTGTTTTTTAAGAAATGCCAGTGACTGTCACTAAATTTTATTCTGGTAAGACCGAATTCATATATATGTACTCTACACTTCATTATTAAGATATCTATATCTGAGCAAAAGTGTGGGGACCTATCAGATTTAAAACACTACAGATCAACAGTTTTCACTACTTCTGTTCATTTTTGTCTCCTTCTCTTCTGCAAAAGTGAGATACATTAAATTACTTTCATCTATCTGTCCATCTGCCTGTTTGTCAGTCTGTATTTTTCTCATGTACATTACCTTAGATAAGACCTTTCCAAATGTACTCTGAGTTTTGGCCCCATGAGCTTGACCTTGAAGGTGACCTTCTTTTCAAAAATAATGTTATATCCCAAAAAACTGAAGCTCTCTGTATAACTCAGTGTGTACATGGTACATCATGGTACACAATCATAATAGAAAGCAGAGCAGATCATCTTTATTACAAAAAGACAAAGAAGTATTCAGTGTTTAATTAATCATCATCAAAATACGTAAATTTTATTAATTTTGAATATAATAATGTGGAATGTATTTTTTTTTTAGCAGTTTATCTATATTATTCAAATCTGGAGTTTATTTAAGAAATAAAGTCCGCGTTATCGTGAATGTTGCAGGATAACCTCCGAGGTCGAGAAATGTTGTCTGAAATATAAAAGCCGAGGCGTTAGCCGAGGCTTTTATATTTCAGACAACATTTCGAGACCGAGGAGGTTATCCTGCATCATTCACGACAACAAGGACTTTATTTCTATTCTACTAACGGCTCTAAAATACAGTTGATCGTTTTCTCTATAGAGAAACGAATTAGGTCACCATGTCGCAATTTCGCTGTTCCATTTAACACCAGAGGGTCAATCGATTGCATAAAATGCAGACGATTTCAGCTTTTGTTGGATTAAAAATATCCTTTAATTATTTATAAATTTGCTTGTAACATAGATTGATTAATTTTTATGAATGAAAAATAACAAAATCAGTTGTCTATTTCATTGATTTATCAGTAAAATCACGGGAGTGTAAATGTTGTGGGGAGGTCCGTAGAACAGCCCCATTTGGCTATAAAAATGGATATTTATCAGCTGTTTCAGGCAATACACACGTTTAGACTGCGGAAGACGACACATCGATATGGTCTAAATAAGTATTAGATTATACAGTGAAATATTTATTTCAACTGTACAGATTTGACATGTGTTTCTGATCTGATAATTTTTTGATGACGTTCGTGATTTATTGGAGAATAATGTCCGCGGCATTTCTTTGATCTCGGCAATAACCGTAGTAGAATAAATGATATCTCCTAGATATTAAAAATATCTGAATCAACAACATGCAGTACATGTCAACTTCACCAGAGGCAAGGTTTCAAAAACATAAAATTGGTACAAAAGAAAAAAAGTACATGTATGTTCATTAGAATATAAAGATAGTTTTATGTTCTAGATATGAAAGGGAAAAAAATAAAAACATCTCAAATAAAATATACTACCTACTTTGGATTTCATTGGTGTCCATTTCACATATAATTGTTTTTAACAGAGAAATTATTTGTGCCATACTTGTCCATGCAGTACCTAACAGGTAATCTGTTATTCTTGTTTGAAAATCATTATTTATATGTACACTGCAAGCAAAGATTTGTCTCAAATATTAGACTTGTCAGAGAAACATCCACATCATCAATGTACTCTGTTCTCTTAACAGTTCACAACAAATTATTATTTCAATTTTCAAATAATAATAGGTTCCTAAGTTACCGCAATTGAAATTAAAATCTCTTTAATTTTGTTATTTTGTGTAAATGATCATATATGATCTAAATCTATGTGCGCACTGTGATGTAAGTCATGTACGTTTACAGAGAAAAGATAAAGGAGTGGTCTTTACATGATGATGACTTTCAAAATTTGAATTTCTAACTTCTGACAGTGACTTTGTTTTGGGTAACATATAACAAAAGAATGTTGTGACTAGTATTGTTTTCTAATGAAAAAGAACTACTTGTAGAACTATAAAATAATTGATAAAGTGTGTAAATAGGGGGAGAGGATCTTTCTCCTTCTGATATTGATGGTATGTACTTTTTCTTTATCGTTGTAAAATAATTGTTGTGAATATAATGATGTAAATTTATTTTTGAGATAACCCCCAGGTTATGAGATATCAAATGTATGCACATACTTAACAGTATACCTTTATATAAAAGTAGTACATTGTATAGGATATCCATAGATGATGTATATAGAGCTTCCTGAATTTAACACAATGCAGATGCAGTTTACAGAAGTTTTTTTTGGAGGAAGCAAGGGATATTTTAAGTTAAATAGTCCATGTTTAGGATATTGGTTTATCCTAAAATGTTAACACTGGATACAGAGGATATTCAGGGATTTACTTTTTTTGTGATGGTCATTTTTAATATTTTTGAGAATGAAGAATTCTAACAGTGATTCAGGCAAGTGTAATATTATTTTGGGAAAAAAGATCTTCAACCATTTGTTCCTAATGTATAGATAGAATGTGATTTTTTATATACTACTTTAGGTTTAAGGTATTTATTTACTAGTTAATGTATATTTAGGTCAACAGTATCAATAAAGATAAAGTTTAATGTTAGAAGTGAATTAATTTATCTTACATGTCTTAGGTAGGTTATGTACAGCACAATAAATACATCAAGTTCTTATACATGTTATGGAAACAGGTGGTTTAGGTAGCTTAGAGCAGTTGACTTTAAAATGAGCAAAAATTAATTTTTTCATTAATCCTTTACAAGCTTAATCAAAAAACAACAACAACAACAACAAAAGCAGAAAAAAAAAAACAAACAAATGAAAAAAAAAGAGGTGGTACTGTAAACCAACATTTATTCGCATGTGAGAAATATCTGCAAGTTTGGTGACCTTCTTTTCATTGCAGATATTTCTCACCATGAACCATAAATTCAGTTATGCGTTTATATAGTACATTTATTCAGTTGTTAAAGAAAAAGGGTGTACAAGATGAGGACAACCCCCTGCTCTAGGACAATACATTTCTCAATTTTCAAAGTTCATGGAAAAGTTATATTTTTCTTATATAATGTTTTCAGTAATGTAGTGGAAAGTGGGTTTATTAGAGCCATAAAAATTATTTTTGAATATGAATGGGTCAAATAAAAAGTTTCCATTATTCATTAATTAATGTTTAAATGATGGAAAAGTAAATGTAAAATCTATTTCATGTTTCAAAAAAATGAAGTTTGAGCCCATTCTATATGAAAATCGAACATTTCTGAAAAAAATTATGCTTCAACAAATTTGTTTATTTAAATCACACTAACACACAAAAAGATGAGCAAGCTTCGTAGCCTAGTGGCTAACGCATTCAGTCTTACGCCTAACTGTGAACTTCGGAGAGAGTTGGAATCATGCGTGATTTTTTTTTCTTTTTCACATACCTTAAAACGTTAGTGAAAAATAAGTTATTTGTCAATAATTTATTCAACAAAATATAGGAAGCAAGTGTGTAAAAGATATTGACAATATAAATTTTGAAAAAACATAACTTTTCGTGAACTCTTAGAATTAAAAAATGTCTTCTCTCAGAGCGGGAGATTGTCCATGTTTAGGGCGCCTTCATCCTTTAATCGTCGCGGATGGATTTCAAAATTGATTAATCCCAAATAAAAGTCATGAATAATAATATTGTAAATCACTTTTTATCCACGAGAAATTTATTCTTGCATATATATATGTAATGTAAAGAATTGTATATAACATTATGTATCACAATAACCAATTTCAATTGTGAAAATTTTGTCTCGCTTATAAATAACAAATTGTTATCTCGCGTAAATAAGGTGTTGCGAAAATATGGTGATTTTCAGTAGTTGGTTTTCAAGGGGTATGAAATGTTTGTAAAATATGTGTTACATGTAAAGAAATGTATGAGATGTTTTCAAAGACAACATGCTTCATAGTAAATATAAATGCTTTGTCACATCTCTATAGACTGTTTCACGATAACTGTGGTACTGCTTTTTTGCAGGGCAAAATGATATATTTTGGTGAAATATGACGTAAAAGTAATTGTTAAATATACGTCATTTAATTATCTGTCATCAAAAACTTCGCCAAATGTTGTTATTTTGCCCTGCAAAAGAGTAGTACCGCAGTTACCGTGAAAGGGCTAATTGTGATGGAATGTATAAGTGTGAAAAAAATATTCATTAACCCACAGAAATGTGTGTACCTGTGCACTTAAAAAATATTTTACACAAGAAATTAATTTGCTAATTTGGAATTTTTCAGACTACAGTTCCGAAGACAGTTCTGATGCTGACGAAAAGTCCATCGACTCCATGGAAAATGGACTGTCTAACTTAGCCATGTCCCCTGTAGAAATCGTACCTGTAGGTCAAGTCACTCAGGTAAGTCTTAAGTCATATGGTGTAGCTAATGTACCAGTAGAACAATTAACTCGGACAAGTCTTAAGTCATATGGTGTAGCTTGTAGAACAAGTCACTCAGATAAATCTTAAATCATATGGTGTAGCTTGTACTTGAAGGAAAAGTCACTCAGGTAAGTCTTAAGTCATATAGTGTAGCTTGTATCTATAGGACAAGTCACTCAGGTAAGTTTAAAATCATAGGGGTAGTTTGTATCTATAAGACAAGTCACTGAGGTAAATCTTAAGTCATATAGTGTAGCTTGTACTTGTAGGACAAGTCACTCAGATAAATCTTAAGTCATATGCTGTAGCTTGTACTTGTAGGACAAGTCACTCAGGAAAGTCTTAAGTCATGTAGTGTAGCTTGTATCTATAGGACAAGTCACTCAGGTAAGTTTAAAGTCATAGGGGTAGTTTGTGTCTATAAGACAAGTCACGCAGGCAAGTCTTTTTTGTATGTTTAGGACAAATCAGTCAAGTAAGTCTAAAGTCATAGGGGCTATGGATTTGATTAAGAGATCCAAGTTTTGAAGATTTAAAACCAATTGTTCTCAATTCTAATTCATAATGAAATTTTTGTAGCAAAGAAGAAATGAAAAAGCAGGATACCTGTTTAAACAAGGAGGGTAAGATTTTCATAATATCATTTTCATTTACTAGAAAGTGTTACTTTTCAATTTATATACATGCATATTTTCTTGAACAAACAATGAATGCAACAATTTTTTAAAAAGCTTTTATTCCGTGTCTGACAGAAGTTATTTATTTCTGTAAACAATGTACATGTAAAAAGTTTTCATGTAAATTACTCAGTAAATATCTGACCTGAATACCTGACTGTAACCCAATATGGAAGCATTGTATAATGGAAAGTGGCACAAGTCATATTCCATGCTTGCTTCAACTTTCTTAAAACCATTTGCAATTGATTGTTGTGATAATTATAAAAATAATATAAATTATAAAGCTTTGTAAAGATTGCAAGAGGATTGAGATGGTCCTTTATTGCAAATCATGCCCATTTATAGAAATTGATGCCCATTTGTAGTAATTCATGCCCATTTATAGTAATTCATGCCTAAGTAAATCATGCCTATCTGACTTAGATTTCATGTCCAGCTTTTATAGAAATATTTAATGAGGTGAATGAATAAGTGAGTCAGTGATACTTCAAGCACATTTAAGTTTTTTAAGTTTATTCATTAGCCAAGTTAGTCACGGAGATTTCATTTCATTTGGCAGCTATTGACTTGTAATTAGGTTTGAACTTCACACTTACGAAATTGATGCACTGAACTTTGCATTCAGTTTTATAATTGTTTTTTTTTTCGCTGGTTTAGCTTGGTGTTTGGTATGAAGGATTATGTCTTAATTTTTTCCATTACAAGGAAGTTTTATTTACCTTCTTGCTCATGGGCTGGTTCATGTTTAAAATGGGTTTGATATCTACCAGGTAATCCCTGGCTTTATACCTTTACGGCATGAAGTTACATACCATGGATGTAGATGCAAATTTTGCTGGCAAACTCACAATTTTAATGTACACCATATGCGGGAATCTGTTAAGTGAGTTAAGTGAACTAGAGTTCAGAGATATAAATGTCCATCATAGAGTGATATAAACTTAGTATCAGAGAAAAATTAATCAATAAGGTGTAGTGTGTTTATAAACTGTTTCAAAAACAAAGTATTGCTGCATTTTGAATTGATTGAGAATATTTTAAAATCCAGGACCTGTCTCTTAGACTTGCTCGTTTAGCTTTGATACTTGCTGTAGTCTTTGGTATAAATTGTAATTTGGAATCAATGTTATTTGTTATTTAGGATAATGAGCAGACTAGGAGTATGGTTTACTTTTTATAACAATTTGTCAGTCACAAACCATGAATCACATTCTGTGGTTTTAAGTTGGTCTCCCTAGGTGTTTGTTTTTGACGTCTATTACATGTAGTAAGCATGGCAAGTAGGAAGTAGGAAGGACTCAGCCATCAAGAATTTTAAGTATTATCACACGAAAACATATGCCTCAAATAACAGTAGAACTTATTGCTTCTTGTATCATCTATCTCAAGACACTTAGTGTTCCTGAATAGTGCAATGCTATTAACTCATTTTTTAAAGGAAAAAAATTAAAAAGCTTGTTCTTCTTCTCAACAAATTTCTGCAATCAAATAAAGGTATATTTGTTCAATTAGCCAAGTTTAACTAAATGGAAAACCTGATTACCTGGTATTCTTCTTATTCAGCTCAGAGAGTAGGAGGTTGGGTTTTTACATAAAACTTAAAAACTTTTGTTTAAAATATGCAATTAAAACATAAACCATAAGCCACTGGCATGTGTTGGAGATTTTGTTAAAAATTTTCCAATGATGCAATCATGCAGCTCCATTTTTAGCTCACCTGAGCTAATAGATCAAGTGAGCTTTTCTGATCAACCATTATCTGGCATCAGTCTATCCATCCAGCTGTCTGTCTGCATGTACAATGTATAGAAAACTTTTCATATTTTTGACTTCTTCTAAAGAAACCACTGAGCCAATTTTAACCATAGTTGGCACAAAGCATTCTTTGGTAAAGGGAATTCAAAATTGTTCAAGCTCCCTTCCAAGAAAAGGGCAAAATAGGTGGGCTCATTTAATCTACTAATCAAGAACCAATGAGCCAGAAAAGGTGAAACTTATGTGGAAGCTTCCTGAGGTAATGTAAATTCTACATTGTTCAAATCATGGCCCTTGGGGTAAGGGCAGGCCAGTAGGGAATCAATTTTTACAAATGAAATATATAGGAAAATCCTTTTTTAAAAAGTACTTAAAAAATTCAGAAGAACCAAAGTGGAACCATTTTAAAATTTGCAAACATTCCTTAGTTGTATTATATTAATTTTTTTTTTCTTCAAATAATGGACTCCATATTAGAATTGGCTAAAATCAGGGTCAAATTTTATATAATGCATGTGCACAGGAAAAGGATTTTCTTTTCCATAACTGCAAGGTCATTTTAGTCATATTGGTATTTAGACATCCCACCTTGTGTGGAGACCCCTAATTGTTAGGGTGGGACCATAATATGGGGTTACAATACATGTATTTAATGCAAATTTAAAAATCTGATGAAGATAAGCAGGGCTTAAGTTACTCAGATGAGTGTATTGGGCCATGGGCCTATTGTTTAAAAGCAATACAGTTTTACTGTAAACGTGGTTATTTTGAGGAGTTGAAAAATTGACGATTTTTTGTTTATGGAAATTGACGAGTGTTAATTTTGACGAAATATTGAATCAAGAGTTATGTATATCTTTTGTTTTACAAGATTAAAACAAAGATAAATACAAAGAACTTCAAAAAAAAAAAACGAGTTTCAAAACTAGTACTCAGAGTAACTTCGCCAGAAGCTAGAGGACCAAAAACTTGATGGAAACATTGGCTTAGTTGACTTGAGAACGTCTACGATTGAGCCGCTCTGTGCGAGTTCACGATAGTATAAGCAAGGACCGCGACTTCCTCGGAAATTTGTTTACAAGCGTTCTCATCAATAAAAATTAATTTGCTTGTAAAAACCATATACAGTGTATAAGATTTGATTGAATTAATTGCTCTTTTGTATTTTGTTTTCATTATACGAGGCCGATTGCCTGAGGTGACAAAGTAGGTTAAACGCGGCGTGGTGATAATTACGCAAAGTTAGAATGTTGTGACCATGGGTAATAATAATATATGATATACTCAATGGTTTTTAAAACTGTGATTATATGTTTTCATAACTATTTACTAAAAATTAAACAGTAACTTTGATCTAGTTTTAATGGGGGAAGCCGAGAAAATTATGAGGTAAAGTTGTACAACGGTCAATGTTTGTTGTGACGCTATATATATGATATGAAGTTTGACGAGTGGAAATTTTGACGAGAAAAGAAAAATCGTCAATATAGTCAAAATTAGCACGTCGTCAAAATTTCCACGTTTACAGTATTTGTTTTTATTTGAAATATCAATCCATAGATAGTTAAGCTTTATTCCTTTGGTATATCACTGCAAGTTACATACATGCACTGCTGTTGTATTTTTAGAAACTATTTAAAAAAACATTCACTTTATTCTAAATTTAGAAAGTAGAGTAATGATGAAGCAAAAACAAAATGATGATGATGAAAAATCAATAATACACCATGTTAGGTAAATTTTGGAAATTATTGTCATGCTTTAGGGGTTTTGAGGGAATATTTATGGGACTATTTATATTTAATATTTATGAATATTTATATAATAATTTTGCAGGAATGGCAAACTGATACTTTGGTCTAGATTATTTTATTTATATTGAATGTGCATTTTTATCCTAATGCTAGTTATTTATATGCCTTTCATTTGGAAAACATCAAATGATTTTACTTATTCAATTTTTTGTCTTTGAGTATTTTCTCAAATGTTAAAGTAATACTTAGAAATGTATATGTCCATGTGCTCTGTATATACATTTACATACAAATTGTTAAGTATATTAATCAATGTGCACCGCACACGCTAAGAAATCTCCCTAGAATTAGATATTTATGCCCCTCTTTGAAGAAGGGAGGGCATATTGCCTTGCTGCTGTCTGTCTGTCGGTCGGTCTGTCGGTCCACCAACAGTTTCCGTTCATTTTCTTCGCAGAGGTAGCACATGCTGAGATCAAATTTGGTATACAGATTAATCATAAGAATATCTAGATCTAGTTCTGATTTGGGTATGATGAAGCAAATTTTGACAGAGTTATGCCCCTTGGACTTAGAAAAATTTGATTATTTGCAGTTTCCATTCATTTTCTTTGCAGTGGTTGCACATACTGAATTGAAATTTGGTATACAGATTTATCATTAGAATATCTAGATCAAGAAATGTTTTGGGTACGATCGAGGAATTTTTGACAGAGTTATGCCCCTTGGACTTAAAAAAATTCCAATTATTTGCAGTTTCCCTTCATTTTCTTTGCAGAGGTTGCACATACTGAAATGAAATTTGGTATACAAATTTATTATAAGAATATCTAGGTCAAGTTCTGTTTTGGGTATGATCGAGCAATATCTGACAGAGTTATGCCCCGTGGACTTAGAAAAATTGTCCAAAGGAGGGGGGGGGGGGGATTTGCATAAGTGTTTCATAAACATCTCTTGTTTTATGATATTGGTACAAATATTGAAGGGTAACAAGTGGTACTTATGTTTTTATATGATACTGGATGAAATCCAGCACATAGGTTTACATAGGAATACAGGGCTCGACATTAACGCTTGTCCGCTTGTTCGGTACCAGTGAAAAAAAATTACGGACAAGTGAATATTGCTGGGCGCTTGTCTGATTGGACAAGTGCATTTAAATGTAAAGAAGTCTCAAAGTAATAAAAAGAATGACTGTCGAACGTTTACCGGTAAGTTCAAAGATGGAAGTAGTATGTTCCTAATATCAAACTTAGATTCCAATATGGATCACTATGTAGTTGAGTTCACACTTGATTGGGATTGAAGTTTACTAATTGCATACTACTGCAAAGGCATGGAATTTATGAAGTTTGGATTCTTTTTGATGTTGACAGTCCCATTTATGTTGTTGTTAGGACAGAAAGTCTAGATAAAATTTTGTGTTATGTGTTTGTTGTATTTATCAATAATATCATGAATCAATCAAGCACATGTAATAGAATTCATTTTAGTTTTCAAGTTGACAGTATTAGATCTTTATTGAAAATTTTTTCGGACAAGTGAAGTTGAAGTTCGGACAAGTAAATGTCTTGGTCACTTGTCCGAATGGACAAGTAGGAAAAAAAGTTTATGTCGAGCCCTGGAATATATGGGAGAAAAATCTGCTGATGAAAAACGGTAGTGTTGTAGTGACTCAGGTGAGTATTCTGGCCCATGGGCCATTGGTATGAATGTTAACAGGTGGTGATGATACTTTATATGATATTGATACAGATTGAAAAGTAACATAATATACATTGTAGTTATACTTTTATATGATATTGATAGTCATAATAGATTAAAGGTAAACAGTGGGTATTGATACTTTATATGATATTGACACAGATTGAAGGTAAACAGTGGGTATTGATACTTTATATGATATTGACACAGATTGAAGGTAAACAGTGGATATTGATACTTTATATGATATTGACACAGATTGAAATGTAACATAATATACACTGTAGTTATACTTTTATATGATATTGATAGTCATAATAGATTAAAGGTAAACAGTGGGTACTAATACTTTATATGATATTGATACAGATAGAAGGTAAACAGTGGGTATTAATACTTTATATGATATTGACACAGATTGAAGGTAAACAGTGGGTACTAATACTTTATATGATATTGATACAGATAGAAGGTAAACAGTAGGTATTGATACTTTATATGATATTGACACAGATTGAAGGTAAACAGTGGGTATTGATACTTTATATGATATTGATACAGGTTGAAGGGTAACAAAGGTTGGAGGAAGCGCTGGGTCCTTTTCACAGGAAATGATCTGCGTTACTATGACAGCCGAAAAGTAAATCTTTAGCAATAGATTTTTTTTCTCCGAATCTGATTTTATGTGTAATTTTATTTAACTTTAAAAAATGATTAATAGATGAGAAATGTTTCTGTGTAAATGAGTGATTCTGTTTTGCAACATTTTTATTTCAATTTTTAACAGTCTCAAGTTTCAAAAAGAATTGTTCCATTGTCTTACATGGAGAAGGTTGAAACACTTGTCAAGGTAAATATGGAACATTTAATTTGAATCTGGAACACTTTCTACAAAGTGACTACAAAAATTCACCAAATAAAGTCATAGGATATAATTCTATTGAATTGTGAAAGAGATCATCTGTGTAGGGTTAGAGCAGAGTGTTTAGTTAGTACGCTATATTGAGTACCTGACTTTCAGGATAGCGACAAGGACAAATTCAAGTTTAACCTCCATACCACCAACCGTGTGTTCCAGTTCGCCGCTGATTCTCTACAGGAATGTACCTTGTGGTGCAGTACCCTGATGGAATGTATCCTCAAGTACAAGGTCAGGATAATAGTAGGATGTTATTGTTACAAGTTCTGTAAATAAAAGCTCTGTAAAAAAAAAAAAAGTGCTTTAATTTAAAAATTCTCAAGGTGGATCATTTCACCATGTATAGTTCACCATATTAGAAAACTATGATTAAGCCTTGACAAATGTTCATTTTGCAATTTTTAATTTTTTTTTTTTTTTTTTTTTTTTTTGGAAAAAAAATTATACATGTATTTAATTTTGAAGAAAAATACTGTCTCTATACAGATAAAATTCACTGACTATATAAATTACTATCTTGTACTGTATACATTACTGTGGAAAAATTGTATTTCATGGTGGTCCAATTTTCATGGATTTCAATTGTTCCATATTCCATGAATATATAAACTCAACAGCACTGGTATTAAAATAAATATATCTTTATTATAAATACATCAAAAAGTTTGCTCACAAAACATCTTCATGATCTTTTTTTTTTTTTCTAATCCATGGAAATTGGTCCTTATAAAGTAAAATGATTCCAAAGTGTGTCTTTTATTATATGTTTTGATCAACCTTAAGTTTTTTTTAAGTCACTTGAGTCATTCAGCAGTCAGGGGCATAATGCAAACAAGTTATTGTCAAAAATAACTCAAATGAGTTATTTTTTTGTCACAATGAGTTACCTCTCTTTGCTATGACCTACTTTTACCCAGTAACTCAAACATGTTATCTTTCCAAAATAGTTTCAATAAAATAATAACTTGTTTAAGTTATTTTATGTCATTCCTCCCTAACTTCACACCCCGTGCACCAAAGGTTTTTGCTCGTGCACCAAGACAAAAACAAACATTTGATTAAATTTAAACCTTGCTCAATCCAGAAAAATTGTTCAAAGTCTTGGGAAAATTTGGAAATTTTTTTTATTTAATGATAAAAATTTGACATATAAACCATGTAAATAAAACCACAAAATAAGGAGTAAAATGCTGTTTATCTCCACCTCCTCTCCAATTCTCCATTGGAGTCAGTGCACTCCACCTAATATTACATAATGGAATCCCAAAATGCAAGGCATATTGGCAGGAAATACAAAACTTCCAAGAAATCACTGTCCAAGTAGGATATAAAAATAACTTATTTAAGTTATTATTAAAATATTATTAAAATAAACTTATTTAAGTTATTATTAAAAAACTCATCATGTGTGTAAAATAACTAATTTAAGTTATTTTTCTGATAACCTGTTTGCATTATGCCCCTGACTGTTCAGGTGACCTATTGCTGTCTCGCTGTCTATTTTTTTTTTTTTTTTTTTTTTGAACATAATTTATTGACAATATGTCAAAGGGATTGGACACAAGTTCTAAAAACTTAGATAGTCCTCTCCCATACGTAAAATCTTAATAGCCATACAACATTTACAAAAATTTACAATTTTACAATATTATACATGAACGTAGAAGAACAAAGACAATAGTTATTATTGCTAAGGAATATCAATTGATATAATGATGATTGTAATGACGTCAATACTTACTTACTTACTTACTGCCCGTGACACCTTTGGCGTATAGGGCAGTAACGAGGGTTCTCCATCCTTGTCTATCACTGGCTAGCTTTTGGAGTGTGCCCCAGCTTCTCTTTTGTTCTTTAAGTTCGGCTTCCACTGTCTGCCGCCAGGTGACTTTGGGCCTTCCTCTCTTCCGTTTTCCCTCTGGTGTCCAGAAGAGAGCTGTCTTTATGATGCTGTCCAAGTCCCTTCTAAGTACATGGCCAAGCCAGTTCCAGCGTCTTCTGATGATGATTGTGGCCATGTCCTCTTGCTGGCACCTGTTGAGAAGGTCTTGATTTGAGATGCTATTGGGCCAAAATATTCTTAAGATCCTTCTCAGGGACTTTGTATGAAATGTTGACAGCTTGTTCAGGTCGCTCTCTGTCATTCTCCAACACTCTGATCCATACAAAAGGATAGGTAGAATGAAGCTTTTGTATAGTTTCAGCTTTGTTCTTGTTGTGTACTGACTTGATCTCCAAACAGTATGTAGGTTGTTAAAAGCTGTTCTTGCCTTGGATAGTCTCTCTTTGATGTCAGTCTCTGCTCCACCATCTGTTGTTACTTTGCTACCCAAGTATGTAAAGGTGTTGGTGCATGGAAGGATGTGATTTTCCACTTTGACCGCTTGTGGGTTGTCTACATTTAGGGTCATGACCTCTGTTTTTTTGGTGTTTATCTTCAGTCCAATGCTTCCTGCATATTTGTGTAGCCTGCTGGTTTTGTCTTGAATGTGCTGGTGGGAGTGGGAGAATAAGGCTATATCATCAGCAAAGTCCAGGTCTTCTAGTGTTGTAAATGTACCCCATCTGATGCCTCTCGGAATGTCAGATGTTGTATTCTTCATGACCCAGTCGATGACTATGATGAATAGTGTTGATGACATCACACAAACTTGACGGACTCCTGTTTTAATGTCAAACTCGATGCTGGTGTTTCCAACTCTGCATCTGAAGTTGACATAAAAACTCTTGATGACAATTATTAGATGTTGTGGGATGCCATATGACCGCACAATTTTCCAGAGACTGTCTCTATGAATGTTGTCGAAGGCTTTTTCGAAATCAATAAAATTAATATATAACTGTCGTTGCCATTCTGTACACTGTTCAGTGATGTTTCTTAGTGTAAATATTTGATCAATACACCCTCGCCCTGGCCTAAATCCTGCTTGTTCTTTACGCAGTTTGACATCTACAGCCATGGATATCCTTCTGATGATGATTTTAGCCATGATCTTACTTGGGATGGAAAGCAGTGTTATTCCTCGCCAATTGTTGCAGTCGTTTAGGTTGCCTTTCTTTGGTATTTTAATGATGACTCCATGGTTCCACTCATCTGGTATGGTGTTTCTTTCCCAGATGTCATGGAAAATTGGCTGTAAAATTGTGGCTGTAAGAAGTGGATCTGTTTTGAACAATTCTGCATTTAAGTTGTCATATCCAGGGGCTTTTCCATTTTTTAGACTTTGTATTGCAAAGACAATTTCTGGAATTTGTGGTGGTTCAATGCTTATGTTTAGGTCATTTGCTGGATAACTGATGTCAGGTTCATGAGTTGGAGGTGGTCTGTTTAAGATTTCCTTAAAATGCTCTGTCCATCGTTCCTCCATCTCTTGTTCTGATGACAGCAACTTTCCTGTTTTGTCCTTGACAGGTAGATTGGGAGATGGTCTATTCCTGCCACGCAGTGCCTTGCTTATTTTGTAAAGGTTTCCTTGTTCTCCTCTGTTGGCTGCCTCTTCTGCTTTTGTTGCTAGGTCATCTATGTGTGCTCTCTTGTCTGCACGTAGAGCCTTTTTCACTTCCTTTCTATTTCACTGTATTCCCTTTGATGTCTCTCTTTAAGTCTCAGAGATTTGGCCTCATTTACTTTCTTTTTGGCATCTCGAGTCAATCATTATCCACATTCTAGGCAATAACCATATTAAAATAGTTTCAAAAGTTAGTAAATACAAGTAAGTGTTAATTGAAACGACCAGTATCCTGAATAAATTTTTGAACAATACCAAATATTTTTTCATTTTCTTGCAAAGATAATGATTCATCTCCCCATAGCAGTTTATGCACATTTAACATTTTTACATTATTAATTACAAGTAATGCATTCAACATTAAAATCTAGCTTCAAGATATTTTCTACACACAAAGAAATAATGATGACTATCCTCCTTATATCCACAAGAACAATTTGGATTCATTATAATGTTACATCTATACAGGTCATGATTTAAAATACAACTGTGCCTTAATCTTGTATGTAAGATGTTCAAATACCTTTTGCCGTATGATAGATACTTGGGAGGCTTGCCATTATTATTACTAGTATTCAATTTTCTTTTAAAAATTCCTATTGAAGTTATTTCCCTTGTTTCGTTACTCAATGAATTCCATTTGCGAATAGTATCAGGGACAAATGACTTATTTAGTAATTCAAGCCTGTATTTCGGTAAAAAATAATTACTTGAATTATGCTGTCTATTCTCATTCGTTGTTGTATGATAACATTTGAACATTTTCAGCTTCTTCTCTGGAACCACTAACAATTTCAACCAATTTTGGCATATAGCATCTATGGGTGAAGGGGAACAAAATCTGAAAAATTCATGGTCCAAGCCTCCCTTGGGCCTGAGGGGTGGGGTTAAAACTATAACAATGAATGCAATTATAGCAATTAATACAGTCTTTGAAAATCTTTACTCCTGGACATCAGGCAGTTTGACTGTTAGCATGAATGTAATAAGCATTGAGCCCTCTACCAAAATTCATGGTCCAAGGGTTCTGGTGTTAGGAAAGGTATTGGTTATATAGTGAAAATACATTAATTCTTTAAAAATCATCTTCTCTGCTCCTGAGTATTTAGAATACAAACTAAGTGCATGGTTATGATGAGTAAGAATGCTCCTTCCTAAATGTGAAATTTATAGCCCCTGGGTCAGGGATTTTGGAGTTAGAGAAGGGTTCTATTGATCATATAGTGAAAATACCTCTAAACTTTGATAATCTTCATCTCTGCTACTGGGTATTTATCAGATAAACAAGGTGCATGGTAATGGTAAGCAAGAATACTCCTTCCAAAATTGTGAAACACTAGAAAAAATCCTGCGCAGCATTAATCGCCTCATCTTTCTTTAAACATCACGTTGGTTGCCATCTAAAGTTTTAGAAAATTCCATAAGCTATAACTATAAGACTGGATACTGGCGAAAACGATTTGCACATATTTTTTTAATCAGTAATCATATTACTTATTTTTTCTTTATTACTTAAGTCAGGTTTTCATTAAATAATTCATTAAATTAATGACGTTTTATCAAATAATTAAACTTTTGCTTATTGTCAGTTTCATTAAAAATTGCCAGTAACTCATATCCGCCAGATGTTTTGGAGTTTATTTGCAAAATTTATTAATGTATAAGTATAGATATTCACAGCTCTTGGGTCAGGTGTTTGGTGTTAAGGCAGGGCTCCATTGATTATATAGTGAAAATTCATTAATCTTTGAAAATCTTTTTTGCTCCTGAGTATTAGCAGACAAACTAAGTGCATAAATATGATGAACAAGAGTGCCTCTTTTAAAATTGTAAAATTCATAGCCCTGGATCAGGGGGGTTTGGAGTTAAGGTGGGCTCATTTGATCATGAAGTAAAAGTGCATTAATTCTTTGAAAATCTTCTTTACTTTTGAGTTTTTAGCAAAGAAACTAGGTTCAGGGTTATAATGAAATTCCTGGCCTCTGAGACATAGGTGGAATGTGTACTCTGCTATAAGAGAAGTTATTCCTCTTTGTCATTCACTTATGATAATCAATCAATGTTATTACATGTATAATTAAAATAAGCAAAGTGAATAAAAAAAAAATATAAAATAATTTTTGATATATGATATAAAAAATGCTTTCATAATTTTTAATAGTTATGTAGACTTTTAAATAGTAGATGAAAATTATCATATATTTGTACATTAGATATAATACAAAGACGAAGAGAGACCACTCTGTCTTGTTATGTATGGTTAAACTGATAGAGGCTAGGGTAAATAGCACTGGCCTATATAGAAAAGTCTCCGAGTTGTTGTTGATTACCTAACTAACTTTTTTGTTGTTCTCAGATCATCCTTTGTCTTGTTTTTGAGTTTCTCAGTTTATTTTGTGTTACTGTAAACAGAAATGAGATAGAGCACTCAAAATTAAGTGCAATCTTCTTCATCAACTAATTAGCATAATCATGAATTAGTGCAGCCCAGCCTCTATATTTATTTGTTCCAATCATTTATTAGCCTGTACTTGAATTAGCAGACAAGGGGCAGTACATGTACTAAAATATGAATACGACTAAATTTAGTACAATTACAGTATCAATTAATTATTTACCATTCAGTTGATACTTTACTGGGTTTCATTATACTAAGGTGAGTGTTAAGGCCCTTGGACCTCTTGTCCTAATAAAGTACTCTTTCTAAACATTACATTACTTTTCTAGGCACCACCTGGTGGAGAACCTGTAGGACTGGATATGAATGAGCCAGATAAACAGGTAACATATTCTAATTTTAATATTGCACACAGTACTTATAGCATTTCATCTTTCGTCTTATGCCAGTGTAATAACCGGTAAACAAAGAAGTACCCCTTATAAGTTAAACATGGTGAAACAAGGACCCTTGACCTGACCTACTTGCTGACCTGACCTCAGCCATTACATAGCCTTTGTAAGTCGAGTTTTCTCATGGGCCAGGTCTTGGGTCCTTATTTCACCATGTTGACCTCATAATTAGGGATGATTATTTGTATTTTAAAAATACATATGTGATATAGAAATGTAGGGTAGATTCAGGAGGAAGACATGAAATATTTGCATTTGTTAACAGTTTGTTGCAGGGAGATGCTTAGCTTTTTATTACCTTTGTTTTTACTTAGTTTGTAAAGAAGTTTAGTGTGCTGTTATTCAGCATTATTCAGCATTAAGAAGTAAATGGGTATGTACATGTATATGATATATGAGTTGATACTTTTTTTCAGGGTTATATTAAATTTGAGAGACGCAACAATAAGTATTATGTGGCAGTAAAACAAGCAAAGATGTGTTATTACCACTCCGAACAGGTAACAGGCTTTGATAAATTTCTTAAGAGAAATCATAATGGGATACAAGATATAACTGAATCCATATCGTGCTTTGTTCCATATAATTTTGGATACACTGTTGGTGACCTTACTAGTCTGTGATATTTTGTTGCTTATTTTCTGGGTGAAAAGGTCTTCAGTGGGATATCTCATTTTTAGCTCTACTGGTCAGAGACCAGAAGAGCTTATGCAATGGTAAGGTGTCCGTTGTCCGTCCGTCTGTCTTTCTAAAACGCTACTCCTCCTACAGTTTTGGTCTGATTTCAATATAACACACAAGTAGACTTCACTATCATACATAATTTAGTGCATCCGTTTTTTATTTCTATGAACGGTGTTGCCATGGTTACTAAAAATAGAAATTTCTGTGAAATTCCTTTAAAATGCTACTCCTCCTACAGTTTTGGTCTGATTTTCTTATATCTTGGCACACAAGTGGACTTCATTTTGATACATAATCTAGTGCATCGTTTTTTTTATTTCAATGAACAGTGTTGCCATGGTAACTAAAAATGGAAATTTCTGTGAAATTCCTTTAAAATGCTACTCCTCCTACAGTTTTAGTCTGATTTCAGTATAACTTGGCACACAAGTAGACTACACTAAGATACATAATTTAGTGCATCGGTTTTTGATTTCAATGAACGGTGTTGCCATGGTTACTAAGAATAGAAATTTCTGTGAAATTCCTTTAAAACATTACTCCTCCTACAGTTTTGGTCTGAGTTCAATCTAATTTGGCACACAATTAGAATACACTACGATACATAATATGTATTTTGGTTTTGATTTCAGGGAATGGTGTTGTCATGGTTACTAAAAATTGAAATTTCTGTGAAATACTTTCAAAATGCTACTCCTCCTACATTTTTCGTTTGATTTCAATATAACTTGGCACAGAAGAAGACTACATTAAGATACACAATTCTATTTATTGTTGTATGTTGCAGAGTTTCAAATCCAAGTGCTACTTTGTTATACGTACAGACCAGTAGAGCTACAGTCTCATCAGAGACCTCTGGTCTGTTGATACAATGACTAAAAATCCAGGTTATAATAAAAGCTGCATTGGCTGAGGCAGAACGGAGTCCCAATACAGATCTGATTTTCTTACCAAGTACATGTACATTGTGTATATTTGTAAATTTGAATTTATGCTGCTGAAGACCTTTTCACAGAGAAGGAAAGCAACAAGTGTCATAGTCTTAATTATAGAGAGAAGATGCAAAGTTAATGTTATCATTAATTTACTATAAACAACCTTTTCATGCCTTCATGCAGCTGAAATCAAAATTTGCAAAAGAATTAGGGTTGACATGGAATTGTCAGTCATATGTATTTAAGAAGGAGCATATAACAATGCTTTTCGCATTGAATCATTGAACTGTGTCTGCTTACCAATTGATTTATTAATTAATTACAAAATTTAACACTTGATATAGAAATTTAGTTGTCCTGCCGAAGTGTAAACAAATTGAATGTTATATGTATGGAGTTATCTTGTTATATCACATCAGATTTTAATTGAGGTAACAGGGAACATTGTAAAAAGGCAATCTTAATTTCATGTTTTGTTATTTCTTTAAGGATTTTAAACAAGGATCTCCTATAAACGAAATAGACATGAAATTAGCAGCTGTTAAAGAAGTCGGCAAAGGAAAGCTACAGTTATCTACACATTATGCCCACTTTCTGTGAGTTTCCTTGTTCCTGTATCAAAATGTTAATAATATCTTAAGTACCTATTTCTCTTTATTGACAAATTTAGTCTGTATCAAAATTTGTATACCGGTAATTGTGTCAGAATTTCAAAAACATTTCACTCTAAAGTCTTCATATATATAGGAAATAAATGAGAAAATATCATGGGTAACTTCCCTGTTGGAGTATTGAGGCACAACAAACTTTTTATATAATGTATGAATTGTTCATTTTTTTCACAGATTGATGCCAGAGAGCTACAGTGAGTGCGTGCTCTGGAAAATGGCATTTGAAGAGGCAATAGCTGATGGTCTCGGTGACAATACGGTACATATCACTTCGGGTTTTTTTCAATTACCAAAACTTTATCCCATGCTTTCTGTATTAGCTTATTTTAGCGTAAACTGTAAATGTCTATAATTCCACGTGTTCAGTATTTTACAATTTTCAATGTTGGTACATTTTATGGTGGTTTTAATTTCGTGATTTTCAGATATTTTTAATTTAATTTTTTAATGCCCCTGTATCGAAGGTTCAGGGATATGTAGTTTTTTTTTTTTTTTTTTAATTAAAGAAAGTTATGGTGAACTATTTATAATATTTTAAGGAACTCACTTTAAACAGCCATTGTTGAGAAAAATACTGTTATATTTCAAAAATAATCACATGTAAGAAATGAAATCAGGTGATGTCTTGTATGTTTACAGATTCTTGACCAAGTGATGGAGAACCCCAGTAACAGAGTCTGTGCTGACTGCTCTGCTGAAGGTAGGCTAACTCTTATAATCACCCACAATATACCAATAGAGATTTGTTAAAGTATTTATAAGTTGTCTTAGAAATCATAATTTTTAAAAATTAGTTCTCAGGATTGAATATTATTATAGTAAATGTTACTGGGGCTATTTTTTTTGTTAGTGTAATGTTATATACATATTTATAGACATTTATATTTGTTATTTGTAGATCCACACTGGGCCTCCATTAATATGGGTATTGTGTTGTGTAAAAAATGTGCAGGTAAGTTTAGAAACTATACTGAGTTAATTGTAAATTTAGATGCAATGTTGACCATTGAGTTCTATTCTTGCTTTTATTACTGAGTTACATAGGGAGGTGTAATGTAGAAACTGTTAGAAGGAAATGTGTTATTTTCAGACAGGGTTATCATTAGGTATCAAGCTTTATTTATTAAGGACATCCTCTTTATATTTTGGCTGTGATCCATTTGTATAGTTACCTGTTTATGGCAGGTCAATAATGTGTATGCCCTTATTTGTACAGTGTGTATTGATAACTTTTCACATTAGGGGGAAGATGAAATGTTTGATGTCAGTTCAAGAGCCCCCATGTTTTTTTATATTATTATACAGAAAGAGCATATTGTACATGAAACTTTTTTTAGTTTAGAGTAAACAAAAGAAATACATTTATAAGCTAACAGTTATAAAACCTAGACATGTATTTGTTTAATAATCAAATTTCAATCAACATTCACCACATTTAGTTTTGAGGTGGGGGGGGGGGGGGGGGAGGATGTCTTGATGTAAACTACCCCGGTATGTTAATTTGATTTTTTTGTCAGACATTCAACTACTGATCTTGCCCTCATTAACTTAAGATCATTTTAAACAAATTTTGAACACAGCAAATTCTGTTGTTGAAGGTGATTTAAATTTTCAGATAATGACTGGTGAAAATACTGTATGATTCTTTACTTTTAAGTCTTCTCTAGTGTCACTAAAATGAAAACAAATCATGTTGTAGATTGTACAATTGTACATGAAGCGTCTTTATGTAGCTACTAGTAACTTGGTTATTAGTTTTGAAAAAAAAATACATGTAATGTGAAAAAAAAAATTACATGTAATGTGAATATTTTTTAAAGATGAATATTTTATCTGTATCTTTAAACAGCTGTGGATACTGTGATGCATGCTGATTTATATATTATGCTGCAATGAATTTGGTTAAGTTCAGCATGCAGATCTGTCCTAATTTATCACAAAGGATACAAGAATGCATATTCAGTTTGTCAGTTTGATAGCCAAGTATTTTTATGATGCACATGTATAGATTCAGCTTTGCTCAGATCATGTTCAATTGCTCTGTATAAAGACTCTGATTTGATGACATTCTGGTTTTTGTCAGAGTATAGCTGCAATTGAGAGTTTTGTCCATTTAAAATGCAATTATTATGTTTACCCTGTCCTTATGACTATAAACTAAACATGACCTCTTATATGTCTTTTTTCTGATGGATTAATTTTGCTTCTTGGCAATGGAAAAATAAGATACAGAAGTAAGTTTGTGTTACTCACAGCTCTACACTGTATGACACTCGGACAACACAGAATCCCTCGCTGTAGATTTGCCTTTAGTAGGCTGAAGTGGTGGTGGTTCCATAGGTCAATGCTTGGTATCAGTTACTTAACACACTTCCTTTTCTATCCAAGCCCAAAATCCAGGCTTCATATTACACAGAGCATTTTGATTCCAGATTTATTTTTTTAAGTTTTTCATTTGATTATAAATTTAATGTACCTTGTCTTTCCTCTACTTTTACTCTGTGTTTATCTGTTTATTTGAAGATATTCACTGCGGACTGGTTCTCAGAGTTGGTATGATCTATTTGGAGCCGGTTACAAGCTTTTAATGAAATCAAATTTTTAATTTAAATCAAATAATCCATTAAATTTTTAGTTTTGAAATAATAAGCTTTTTAGACTTCACATTTTTCTACCTGTTCACACGCAAAGAAATGTGCTAGTGAAATTCTACACTGTCTATAACCTTTAATTTAAAAATATATATATTTTTTAAATATTTGTAGAGTAGATCTTAAAAAATTATTCTTTCACAGATTATGTATCTGCAATTGATATATTTTTCAGAGCTTAAATAAGTTTTCAAAGACTAATCTATTTTTGAAAAGCTATCAAAACAATTGACTTGGAGATTACGTTGAATTTATCAGTACGTATGTATAATGCTGTAAAGTTATACTGGAATCAAAGAGATACATATTCAGAACTTTTTATCCCAAAATCATTTCTTTTAGAATCTTTGATGTATTTTGGTTTGATGCTGTCTGCCTTTTGTTGGGGAAGGGAGGGAGGCATTTTTCATGGATTGCTGTTTAAGTTTACAGGGTCAAGCAATAAGAAATAGTTGTGTGGGTGAACATCTCCTTAGGAAAGATATATTAAAAGTACATGTATTGTGTTTCAATATTTGTTGAAGTTGTAAAATCATGGGTAAGGCCAATATATATAATGATTCCACAGAATATGTTGTGGATGCATGAAGGGCATAAATTGTATCAATGCATGGAGATAATCAGATTTATGTTAGTGTTGTACTTGTCATAATTAGTCCTGTACTTGCTGAAATGGACAGTTTATATATGTACTGACTTTAAAAGGTACATGTACCAGTAATTACAGTTATCATGTTAAGTCTAATAAAAAACTTCACTAAGTATAAGAGTTTATAAACTTATCAAAAATACAGAGTTGTACACAGTACCGGGTATGTTCTGAACTATTGAAGTTGGCTTTGACATTTAAGTACATTATTTTGCTGGTAAGCCTCCTTTGGTGGGTGTGCTTTACTCCTGTGTGCAAACTTAAATGTTATTGATGTATCATGAGGTAAACAAATCACTGCTGTGGCCTTTGTTAGTTTAACAAGAAAGCTTGAGGAAGTATAAGAATTACATGTATTCAAGATTTGGAGATGCATAGATTTGCTATAAGATTTGTAGGTCATTCATCATAAGAGTTTTTGTCAAAAAGGAAGTAATGCTTATCAACATCCATAAGAATAACAAGAAACATGATGCATTGTCATAATAAAGGAAGGAAAAAAAAATTGGAAGATTTCAATTGTTTAATAATTTATGCTTATTATGATTTAATAGGTTGATTTTAATATTTTTTTTTAGGGATTCATCGGAATTTTGAGCACTCCCTATCACGTGTTAAATCTCTCCGTATGGATACCAAAATATGGACGCCAAGTCTTATTGAGGTGTATTTAAAAAAAAATTATAAATCTCTTTTAAAAGTCAATATGGAAGTAACTCAAATGGAGACACTTTACTTTTCCTGGAAGTTATCAAAATTAATTATGCTTTATGCCCTGCTAATTAGAGATGTTTTATTGATTATTATGAAACAAACATCATCATCTGCATTAAAGCTGAGAGCCTTTGTATGAAAAATATTTTACTCAACTATAATTTGTTGTTTTTTAATTAAGCTGATGAAGGCCATTGGAAACAGAAATGCTAATGACTTTTGGGAGCATAGTCTACCACGAGACAAGAGGATAAACTCTGACACATCAGCCCCCCATAGAAAAGCCCATATAGAAAATAAATACAAAGCCAAGCTTTACTGTGATAAAATTTCCATATCAGACAACCAAAAAGCACTCAATGAGGTACAGATAACTGGAAAAAGCATTTTTGAATTGAATGACAGAAAAAAAGAAGTCTTAGAATGTACGTTTTTAAGTTAAAATACAGGTACACACAATGTAATTCAGGAATATACAGATGAATACACATACTAGTCTCAGGTCCGTAGAACATTGGGGGCCACTTTTTCCCTGAGAATAGTGTTTTGCTACAGTAAATTTTCCATAAGATGCTGGTTGCCTCCCCCCCCCCACCCCCCCACTTTTTGTTGCTGTAAAGTCAAGCACTAGCTGGCATAGTCTGGGATTTGGTCAGTAAATTAGGTTTTTCTTGTTTTTTTTTTATTTTGTGTTTGTTTGTTTGTTTGTTTATATTTTTTGCTTGACAGATTTTTTTGGGGAATCCCCCCCCCCCCGCCCACTTTTAAAACTGTTACTACGGGCCAGAGTCTATATATCCACTTTCCAAACATACTAAATTGTATATTGAATATTGTATACATTAAAAGAATGTATTCCTTCTGTTCAGTAAGATTTAATATATTCTTGTTTTATTGCAGATGTTATTAGCATTGAGTGAAAATGAAAATTTATTGGAGACAATGAAAGTTTTCTTCTCAGGTGCCAATGTAAGCATGCATGTTGTCTGTGATGTTCAAAATATCAGACATTCTGTTTTGTTAAATTTAGTTACATTCTATTGTTTATATGAATATACCCTTTTCCTTTCAGATTTACTTTACAAATAGTGAAGGTGAAAATGGTAAGAATATTTATTTGCAAACTTAATTCAGAAATTTTATGAACTCTACAGTGATTTCCATATATTAATATTGAAAAAAAAAAACTTGAAAGTTTAAAAAAAAAACTGAAGGATTTCTATTTACAAAATCTGTGTCAACAATGATAATCTAATATTTGTCATGAGTTTTATTGGGACATGTTTCTTTGGAAGGACAATGGTTTAAAATGATTGTAATAATAGGATAGTTCCCACCAGTGAATTAGAAATGATATGTCTTTATTCAGTAGATTTGGGGGGAGAGTGAGGGAAGAGGATACAAAACAACTTCCCTCTAGATTATCTTCCCTGTTTTATTACCTTAAACTCAGGGTGGTGCTTTATACATGTATAAATATAGTCATCTTTGTGTTTTTGTAGCATACAAGATAGCCAAACGTTTTGGACAAAGACTCACCATGGTAAGAAAAAATTAATATAAAGATACTTTGTGTTTTATATTATTTCATTTTTTCCTAAAGTAGAAAGAAAATGAATATTGATCTTTTGTCTTTTCAGGAATTTCTTTATCAGAATGGAGGGGATCGTAAGTTCAATCTACTGCATAAGATTTGTAGACTTTAATTGACATAAAGAATGACTTTCATTACTGATGTGTTTTAATGTCTTGTTTGTGTTTAGGTTCCTCCAACACTTACAGTGATAATGATGAGGTAGGTTTAGGTCTTTAGTCTTAATTATCAATTTACAAGTGTTTTACAACAGAATTGTCTTACTAGTAAATTGGACATTTGTTTGAACTCTGAAGTGATGTTTGTTATAGATTCAGGCAGCCAAGTTACGTGGTGAAGTCTGTTTAGACGGTTATCTACAAAAGACAGGAAGTAAAAAGAAAGGTAACCTTTGTCATTTACTACTTTAACTTATATATACTTGAAGGATAGATGATACAAACAAAACAATGGATGCCTGGATTGGTTTATATTTATGGACCTATTTTTGTTGTAAATGATGCAAATATTAAATTTTTAAAATATTAATAAATTGTAAACGTTCTTCGATGTTCAAAATTTTACCTTTCTGCAATCATCCTTATCTTTACATTTTTTTTTTTATCCTTTTATAGCACATTATTGTGAAATGTTGAATGAAAAATTAAAATCTATGCAGTGAAACTCATTCATTTTACTTCTATAAATATGACCAACATTGCTTTTTTCATGGTTTTTTTAAAAAAGTTTGTATTATATGTCTTTAATAGTCACAAGTACATGTAGTTTTCATATATATTATCTAGATATCAGGGTTCAAATCTGCTTCTTAGTTAGTTAGATCAGACCTTTGAAGTTTGAAATATATGAAAGTCAGATTTTGTGTACAATTGTACAGCCCTTTTTAAAATTCTAAACAGATTTCTTAAGGAGGTGGTGTGTTATTGAACATGGATGTCTGCGATATTTTTCAAGTCAAACTGTGAGTATATAAGCTTTTTTTAATATTCACATAATTTTTCTTTTTGTAATTTGTAGATGTGAACTGTTAGAAAATTGATGAGTTAGTTTACAATAAAAAGTTGTCTACCACCATATAGCATTTTATTTTTTTCTGAGTTTTTAGACTAAATTTAAAGAATAAATGTAAATGTGAAATTTTATTTGAACTAGTATGATATTCTGCTTTGTTTTTTTTTTACTATGCATATCTCAGGAGGTATTTTGCCTTTTTGTGTTTGTGTTTGTGGTGAAATAATGAAATAGTAAGAAGTGTTGGCATATCTAAAGATTAATTTTGCTTTACATCATTTAGATGTGTGTAAATGCATTGTAGTTCATAGAAAATAATCTGAATAGCTGGTGTATTGCCTTTTCAGCTTTCAGTGAAACTTTACTGACCACAATCAACAAATAAAATTTGAAGCATTTTTTTTTTCAGAAGGTTTTATCATTTAACTGAGGTTTTTTTCCAGTCCTCCCTCTTTTTCAAAAAAAAAATTATTTAAATAGAATTAAAAAAAATAATAATAAATTTAAATAAAATTAACAAAAAATAAAAAAAAAAAAAAATAAATAAACATGCAGGCTGTGACACGTTTTTAGTAAAATCAACCCTTCAAAAAACTGGATAGTAATGCAAGTGTTGTGTTTCATCATGTCAAAAGTTACAGTAACGCAAGAAATTTGCTTAGCTTGAAAATTTTATTCATGTTTGCCATATCTCCTAGATCGTCAGCCAAGAAAAGTTGACATATATCATCATAACCTTTTCTCCCCTTCCCTCAGACTTCACTCCTAAGATTTCCTCTCTGAAGTACCTATTGAAAGTTTTTTTTGCACAAACATAGTAATGAAGTTTGTGAATCAATGTATATGATACAGTCAACAAATTGGCAGTAATGAAGGAAAAAAATAGTAATACATGTATTGTACTGTACATGAAAATGAGATACAGTAAATAAATTTAATTATATTATTCTATGTAGATCTATAAACATATAAATTTTGAATTTATTTTTGATAGAAATGAATCAGATGAAAATATGCTTGAAAGTCCTTAAAGTTTTCAACATTGAGATATATAAATTATTTGTGCATATACGTGTACATGTAAAAGTTTCTATGTGGAGAAAATGTAAAAGCGTTCTTTTTCCTTAAAGAAAAATAATGTCTATGTATACTTGCAGAGTTCTGTAGCTAAGGACAGCGTGGACAATGATGTCATGATGTGTGTCCAAGCCGTTACTATCTCGGACAAGTAAGTCATCGGGAAAATTAATTTTCTCCAACTTTGAAAAAACTCTACATGTAAAGGGAAAAGTTGAAACAGATGTGAGATTGAAGCCCAGATAGATGAAATTCAAAGTTCTGAGAAACGGAAATAGACTTGTGATTGATAAGTACTGAATTACTTACTGTAGGTCATTGTCTAATGTGAGAAACTTAAATAAAAGGTCAGTACACTGCATGTTCATACACTACACTCCTCCCCTTCTGTACACTGCTGCAGAAAGTCTCCACTAACAAAGACATTTAGTAAAACTATACATGCCTAGATTATTAGTTTTAGAGGTTATGTTTGCATGAAAATGTAAGAGTTACATGTGTGTATATATTATATTAAAATATAATTCTGGTTTTGCATTGGTATTTGTAATCTTTTGAAGTCTAGTAATTTATGTTTATGTGCAAACTCTGAGGTAAAATTAATGTAGGATGTATATATTGCATGCTGGATGATGATAGTTTGCCAGACCAGTTTGATATTTTCGTAAAACTTCAATCATCTCATGATTTTTGATGTTTTGTTGTGTGTGAATGCATTTTCTAGTTGATAGTTGGTTAATTTACAAAAGGCCAGAATAAACAAGGTAACATTCAAGTATACAGTGAAACTATGAATCTTGAACATTGATTTACTAAATTCATGGGGTATGTTGAAATTAATCACCATTATTTGAATATTCAGGAATGACATATCAAAATCGAGATTGGCATTATTTACTCTTGATTTTAATATCTCAAACTCTGGAATAACTAATTTTTTAACAATCCGGCTCTGTTTGAGATAAGGAGTTTTGATGTACAGGCACTGCACTATCAGTATGAAGTTTCAACACTATTTATATCACTTGAAGTAGTTTTTTAGCATCATATTTATTAATATTCATGGTATCCTTGAAATTTACCTCTCAGCAAGAAGTAATTAGAGTTATTGCCCATTATTATTTATGAGGACCTTACATGTTTGTCCACTGCTAGGCAATCTCAGATTAATCAGTTTTCATTTACAGTAGTTTGCTAAAGACTTGACTAGAGAGTTGAAAGTTATTTGGTTTGTGCAAGTTGGTTTTTGCATGCTTTGTTAAAAATAGTCTTAATTACATCTTGGTATATTTGTATGAACATTGGATTGTCACTTGAGAAAAGAATTATGTACATATTTTTACCAAAATAACATAAGGGGTAGAGGAAATAAAGATGGTTTTTTTTTTACCGGTATGTATTTTAAAGTCACATGTGTGATGAAATCTTGTCATTAAATCTGGCCTCTGTATGACAAGGATAGCAAATTATGAAATAAGTCTTTTTTTTTTTAAATTTAAATAATATTATAGTTAATTCGGTCAAAATCAAATGTTAAGATTTTAGTTAAAAAGATTAAGAACCTAACAATAATCAGCTTAAGACTTGGCCATCTCTCTGTTGAACTTCTCACGCTTTGGCCTTTGAAGTTCTCAACTTTAGATTGAGAACAAAAAATTTTAACATCAATCTCTCTCTTTCTTTTGATAAAAATTTATTGCTTCTAAAACAAAAACAAAATTGTTTTAAATTTATTGAGTGAGAGATAGAGGTATACCATTTACTTAGTCTTCTGAGGATTTTACTGAACACATATTCTGAATTTCTAGTGTGGAGAGGCCTAAGATGAATAATATCTAATTTTCAGGTATCCAGAGGCATTTGAGCTAAGCACCTGTAAAAAAGACAACAGGGAGTATTTATTTGCGGCTTCCACTCCTCAAGAAAAGAAAAGCTGGATGGTTGCATTAGCTAAGGTTGGTAATTTACTGTGACTTTGACCCTGAATATTGACCTAATATTCAAATATTTTAACTTTTGAATGAGTAAAGACCTTTATGAATGTATTATGGTTTTTGACCTTCAGACATTAACCTTAAACTTTAATGTACAGTACTTTTTGAAATTTAACATTGGTGATATCTTTGAATGAAGACAGGGCTTTCATATTTTACATGAACATTGCCTATGACAACACTTTCAGAAAAAAAAAGAATTTTGTCATTTTTAACTTCATGATCTGACCTAGAAGTCTGACCTATTTATCATAAATGTTAACTTTAGCCATAATTTCTGCTCCAGAAGAGACAGCCTTTCATATTTTTTACATGTGCAATACTTGTATAGAGATCTTTGAATTGTTTTGATATGATATTTGATGTCATGACCTTGAAGCTTGACACAGTTTTAAGAAATTGAATCTCCACCATAACTTTTATTAAAAAAATTTTAAGTACTTTTTGTATGATGGACAGACAAGACAGTTACAATGTACCATAAATAATTGCATCCCAACCACTCAATTGCATCCCAACCAAAAACAGAGGACCACAATTCTTGAAATTTGCTTTTTTTTCTTTGCAGTTATTTTGTCCAATCTCCTTAATGGAAGATGTTGGTCAATCAGAGTTTAACTTGGCTGGTAACTTCTATATCAAGGATGTAATCTCTGTAAGTGTCATCCATTTTGTAATTATTTTAAGGAGAGCACAGCACATGATAAAGTGACATTTGTTGTCTGCATGATGTTATTTGTATAATATTAACAAATAATAATTCCCGTTTTTACATTCTCTTTCTAGGACTGGGAGAAAACATGGTTAATGATCAACAACAGAATATTGGAGTACTATGACCAGGTAAAAGTGTGTGAAGAAGACAAACACATGAAGATGTTATTTCTATATTTTATTGAGTAAATCATGCATAACAATGATAAATACAGCACTTTTGATGATAAGTCTATAGCACTTGACACAACAACACAGCAATTTTAAAACAGTTTTTTTTTTAAATTAAAAACTGAAAAAGAAACATTTGTACATAATGTTACATAATTGAACATATGAATTGCAACATTTTACACTGTTAAGCAATTCTAATATAAGCTTTTTGAGAATAATGAGCACATCATATCATTTTGTATCTCTCTGGATATAAATATTTTAGCACTCCATAAGTTCAACTCCTTTTGTTTCAGTGATTTATACTTTCTACTCTCAATAAGATTTTCATATGAATAGTTCCATTGTAAAACATAACAATGAAAATACAGGATTATTACATTTACACTGAATAACATGACATTGTCACTTGGTAACATCTCCACAGAATGATTTACATTGAATATCACTTGCAGAAGTCTTCAAAAACAACACTAGCATTAAATTGCATCACAATTGCATCACAATCACATGAATCTACTAAACACTAGTACACTTGAGCTTGTGAATCTTTTGGGTGTGTCCTTGGCGAGTTCTCTTGTTGGCAAACCACTTCCTGACTTGTCCTTCTGTGATGCCTCCAAACACAGACAGGGATTGGACAACCTTTGGACAGGGGTAGGGATGCTTGGTGTTGTTCTGGTACCACTCCTCCATCATATCAGTGGCGTCCTTTTTTAGCACTGGTCGGCTCTTGAAGAGGGAAGTTTTGGCTGGTTTCCTGGACTTTGATCTCTTCTTTTCCAGTTGACCTAGACTGTTTTCTACTCGCTCCATCATTCTGTGTAACATGCTGTCGTAGTAAGCGTTGTACATCTGTTTAAGGTGGTCTGGACTGTTGTTATGAAGGTGGAGCATCTTGAAGCGATTTGTTTCAATTACTGCAGCGTGATAGCGATGGAAGTTGGAGAGTTCTTCAATATTGGAGGGATACTGTTGACGAAGTTTGTCGTATTGTATCTGAAGTCGCTGATCACGTAGAGCCACAGAATGGGGGATAGGGGTGTGCATGGTCTCTATCAAAATGTCAGGTGTAGAATCACTGAAGCACTCTTTCATCAAGGTTGATTGGAGGGCACTGAAGAATTCCTGCTTGGATGACTGTTGTATATCGGATCTAAGAAGACTGAAGAGTGCGTTGTCAATCCTTGTTTCTGCTGGTGAGGTGTTGAGCTCTTTGGGTGGTGATTGAGGTGGTGATGTCTGACTGCTGCATGTCTTTGTTGCTGGTGGATCCTCTGTGAGGGGTGGTGGTAACAAAGAATCCAGTGTTGCTATCACTTCCTCAAGATCCAGTTCTGGTGGCTCTGGACAGTTTTTCAGGTTTTCTTCTAGATCTTGCAGTAAGAAGGAATCAAATGTTGAAGTTGGTCCTAGTGCAGTTTCCAAAAAGTCCAAGTCATCCATGATGATTCACAATTAATACAACGCACTATAGAAGCAGAACACAAATAACACTAGAACACTTTAGAGATGACACTTAAAAAATCAGATATATCACATCACATGAGATAGAATATCACAAGAGGAGTTGAAGGTTGTGACAGAGAACAAGTCTACATTGATCAATGATCAGTTGTGACATATGGCAGACTGACATGCCTTTTTGTAGGAGTTGATGAAACTCTAAAAAAAAAAGCTTTATTTTCATTGGTTGAAAGGGTCTGAAATTATAAGCACACAATATTTCATTGGACACTTTCAGAATTAATTTTGATGAAGTAAATTGTTATTGGTCAGAATATTCTAATTATGGATTTCAGCTTGGACATCCACTTTATTATGAACAGTGGTCATTGCTACAGGGACTGGGCTTGTGATTGACCATTAGCACCATTTCTAATGGTGTGCTTATCCAAGCTGTAATTGACTTCAGCAACTAATACATCCCAAGCTCTTTCATTCACCCTCAATTAAATATCTACTTGAAAGTGATATTTAGTTATTAATTTTCTGAATCTATAGGTATATTTAATGATTTTAACATTTTAATCAATAGCAGGTAATAAACTATAATTAATAGTTATGTTTCAAATTAATTTTTGAAATGAAATTTGATTTCATAAATAAAGTAGCAAGACATATTTAATATATCTGGAATTAAAAAATCTATTATATTACTTGTACATGAAGTAGTTTTTCTTTCTTTCAGAATAAACAAGAATTCTGCAAAATTGATCTCAGGAAAGCTATTAATATTAGTAAGTGACCATTTCTATATTTAATATTGTAAATGCACATTTACATTGAAGTGTTTGTTTCTCTGAAAAGTATGCAACTTTCTCTCTCTCTTTTTTTTTTTAACACTTTAGAATACAGTGAATCCACTCTTGCATGTAAAGTCTGTATGGAAGTGGGCAAATGTTTGGCACTAGATGTTCATGGAAAGTATGTATATCATCCTGTAAGATAAATCTTTATGTATTATATTCTTACAGCTGTAAGAAACATCAAATCATTATATCAAAGTAAAGTTATAATCTTTATTTTTTCTTTCAGTACATTGAATATGTACATTTTAATTCCAGGTCACTGTATTTTCAAGCAGATTTAGCTCGTGACACAGAGAGGTTGTTAAATGCATTCAGTAGAGCCATGAAAGTAAGGGTTAATTTTTTTTAAAAAAATTGTTCCCTGGTCATACAGGCCATTTTATCAATTGTTTGATTTAGATGGTGCTAAAATTAGTAAATGAGTATAAATTGCTCTCGACAGGACAAATTTAATGCAGGTTAATCCCTTTAAGTAAGTGTAATTTACAAAGAGCAGACATTTTTCTCTTAAGAACAATGAAGTGCTGATTAGTCATATCAATATGGAAGCATCCTGTGGTAATGTAGATTCAAATTTGTTCAAATCATGACACCCAGGTGTAGGATGGGACCACAATTGGTGATCAAAGTTTTACTTAGGAATATATTGGAACAAACAATTAAAAATCTTCTTCTCAAGAACAACAAAGCCATGATTAGTCATATTATAATATGAAAGCATCCTCAGATACTGAAGGTTTAATCGTGTTCAAATCATGATCTTTGGAGGTGGGATGGGCTGCAATAGACAAAGTTTTACATAGGAATATATTGAAAAAAAATCTGCCGATGAAGAACAGCAGTTCTATAGTGATTCAGATTAGCTTTATGGCCCATGACCTCTTGATGTTGTTTTTTTTTTTTTGATTGCCAGATGAATTAGTAGTATATAATCCTTTATTTGTGATGATGTTTTTTTCTATTTCAGACAGGAGGGGACACATTAGAGGATCAACATCTATCTCCTTCCAATGTTCCAGTGATCATTGAAAAGTGTGTCTGTTTCATTGAAGACTATGGTAAGCCTGTTGACATGTAGCAAATAAAATAACAAGTAAATTGATTTACACAGTAGAAAACAATGATTAACACAGTGAAAACATGTTAAATTTTCCTTGATTCTTTATCAGGTATACAAGAGGAAGGAATCTACAGACTCTCAGGGGTTAAATCCAAAGTACAGGCTCTGCTGGACAAATTCATGTCAGGTTTGTTATGCTAGGGGATGCAGGACTTCAAATCATCTATTTCAGTTAATACATGTATGTAAACAAGTTCTCCAATCTCATACAAACCAGACTGAAAACCTACTTTTCTCTGGCAATTCCATGAATTCAATACATTTTCCTATACTGTAATAGAATGGGCATAAAATATGTGCATGAGAAAACAACAACAACATAAAATATACACACAAAAACAAAAGCTGGACAGATTCTTCAGTATATTGCATGTATTTCCCAAAATCATATATTGTAAGTTCTGTTATTGCTTCGTAACATTTTAAAATTCCACTTGATTAGGATTATTTTTCTTTTCAATAGATGCCCACTCTGTGGTGCTTCAACAGGGAGTGAACCAGGTCCATGAGGTGGCAGCTTGTCTGAAATTATTCTTCCGTAGTCTCAAGGACCCCCTGCTCATGAGTTCCAAGTATCCCATGTGGATAGAAAATGCTGGTAAGTTTTAAGAAAATAATTTAATACAAACTGAATATTGTTGCTCAAAAGAGAAAGAAAGACATAATTAGATGCCAGACTATTTTGGCTTGCAATTTTGCTTTGCTCTCTAGCTGAAATGCATGTAGATGAACATTGGCATAAAACTAAAATATAAGCAAATATGCCCAGGATGCTCTATTCATGTTTTTTTCTTTTTTTTTTTTTTACAATTACTGACAACTGAATTGTTTTTATTAAGCTGTCAATAATGAAGATTTTAAAAATTAAAAAAAAATGTGACGGTGATGAATATTTTGATTTCTACAGATGATATTATGCATGGTAAGTTTGGGGCTGTTTATTATGATGTGTGTGATCTTATGTGATGCTTAATCAGCAGTACACAGGGGAAAGAGAATGTTTGATATATACTGTGTTGCTGCAGATATATTGTATTACACTTTATACGGGACATTCTATTATAACATTTCAGTTTTCCTTCTTGTGCATTCTGTTTTTAGTTTCTGGAACATTTTCCATAATTCTTGGCGAGATAGAATATTTTAATCAAAATCAAGATGTTTATAATTAAATAGCAGTAGTGTATACTTATTTCATCAGAAGGAAAAAATATATGTATGCATATGTAAATTGATGTACTTTTTGCAATTTTTTAAGTTTTTTTTTTTATTTGATTGGTGATGTAACAATTTGTTCTAAAATATTATTAATGAATGAAGTATAGTTTTACTTTTCCTCATGACAAGAACATTGTATTTCTTCAAAAATCTGTAATCAAGATTTTCAGTATTTTATTCAAAGCATGCCCTGAACTTTATTTAAATCCCTAATTGTGCGAATCAACTCACAAGAATACATTATTGCTGACTAACCTCTTAGGCATGATATTCTTCATGAATTTTAATCCGAATTTTTTTTTCCAAGAGTGGGTGGGACAATATTTTACTAGTGCCACCAGCTTTAAAAGAAATGTTTGATTAATATTCTTTAAAAGCATGTCTTTACTTTTTAGGTCGTATGGATCCACAAGTGAAGTTAGAGTGGTACCAGTTTCTGATCCGAGAGCTTCCTCCCATTAATTACAACACACTCAAGAGACTTATACACCACTTCAACAGGTACATTGATACCAATGATTTACCCTAAAAATCCTCCTATTTTTGTTATTACAAAGCTTTCATTGAAGAATGGATAAGGACTTTTTCCAAATGAAATTATAATCTTAGTGATATTAGTGCAGTAAGACTTTGTTATGGGAGACTGTTAAAAACATCAATATATCCAAAGCTGTTCACTATTAGTGAAATTTTGTATTTATCCCAGATTTTAGTTTTAAATTATGGACTATGGATTTACCTCTGGAAAATGCTCATGCTTCAAATTGGATTTTTTTTTTAAGTTCTGTACCTGCTTTAGGAGTAGTAAGGATAAAGGCCTCAGAGATGACATTAAATAAGCAGATCATTATTTACATATGATACATGTTGACCAGTCAGAGGATAATGTAACAATCAAAAATCATTTTTATCCAAGAGTTTTCAAATGTAAATGGAAAATCTAATCCAAGGTATTGAAACATGAGATTACTGAGAAATTTATAGCTCAAATTATGGACAAAAAGATTTGTACAGACATACTGCTGATCTGGATAAATTATTTGATTTTAACAGCTGAGTTGAATTTGGAGTGTAGGTACTATCTGTGACAGTTTGTGTTCATGTAAATGTGTATTGTTTTCACCAAATTAATATTAGTTATATTTTTTGTATTATAGAAAATGTATTGATACATTTACAGTATTTAGTACAGTTTGTTCACCCTAAACACTACCATAGCCAGAGTGCATTTTATTTAGTTTGAAATGTTCGTGAAGTTTTATGGCATGTGCACATTATAATTGGATTATTTCCCTTTCTACACCACATTTTATCTTCTTTTGAACAAACAGAATAACATTACTCAATAATCATTCAAATTTAAGCTTTCTTTTGTGTTGTAAATTCAAGTCTTCTCAAATCATCCATGCTAGGGTAGGGCTTTAAATAGAGTTTACTGCAAAGCTTAAATCAAAGTAAGGGGTGGGTTGGGGGTATCCACATGCATAGTGGACATCATTCCGAACTGATGCCAAGGTTAGATAACAGGGCTGCTACAAAAATGAACCACTCCAGCATATAGAAAAAAAAAATCTGCAGAGTAGTATTATTAGGTTTGTTACTGACTGTTTAATACAGAAATATATCAGGTTGATCAATATCATAGACGGCAAGGCGAAATGACAAGAACTTAATGCTTATTGCTTAACTTACCTGCTAAAACTCTTGAGGGGTTAGAATCTTCCTCTAAATTGTTGGGAATGTTTTAATGCAATAACATGGCACACTTTCCACCAAACTGCAACAGGAAAGGGGGAGGGGGGGGGGGTTGCATGGCTCTATTGAATGATGTACAATAGAGTCTACAGCTAGACAATATTCTTAAAACAGTGGGTGCCCCCTCTCCAACCCTGTAGTATAATGGGCCTACAAGAATTGATGAGCAAGATGATTAAGTACAACATATTTTAATTCAAAATTTTAGTGTCCCAACATCTCTACTATCGACAATATCATGTTTTCTCCAATTTCACATGCAGTCATACTCTTCAAAATTATCAATCTTACCTTTAGCCATCAAGTAATCTTGGTAATTCTTTGAGGCACCTTCATCTTAGTTTAAATAATTTGTTTCTGATTACCCGGTAGATTCTTTTCCTATCTTGTTTGAGTGAATTTCGACCCTTCTATCGCTTGTGATGCAGTCAAACAAGTTTGACTTCATTTCTTAAAAGGGCCGCTACTCTGATTTAGAAACCATTACGGAAAGTAGTTTCTGTAATAAATGATTTCTAATATTAAAATGTAAACACAATGTGTTGGCCAGACAGCTGGCAGTCACTAGTCGTGTTTTAAATCAGTGAATGTGGGGCATTTCAATCTGAGGGAGAAAAAAAATAATCCTGAGCTTTTCAGATCAATATTTATTTGATGAGTATCCATCTGTACCATACAATGTACTTTCAAAACTTTTTTTCACGAAAAAATAACATACCGGTAAAATGTTATGGACCTTATAGTGGCAATTCATTTGAAAAATCAATTGGAAATAGGGTGGACTGGAAGAGGAGCAAAATGTTTCTCATGTAGATCATGATACTTCATAATAAATAGTTGATTTGATTATAAATGAAGTGTTTGCATTATAATTCTGTGATATTATAGTGAAGATTTTTACCACCATTTTGAAGTAATTCTGTGCATGTCTTAGAGTATTTATGATCCTTCTGTATAACATGTAGTTCTCCTTCAGACAATGTAAAGATTGTCTCAGAAATATTGTATCTGATTTAAAATAATCTATAGCACACTAATTTATTTTTAAAAATTTAAAATGCAGTAACTAGTAGCAAAGACATCTTTAAAATAAGAATAAATAAAAAATTTAGTATTTAGTTTTTAAAGATTAACAAGTAATTTATTCCTCTGAGGGTTTGTCTATATTCTTTTTTTTCAGGCTATCAAAGTACTCAGCTCAGAACAAGATGACAGAAAAGAACATTGCTATTGCATTTGGTCCAACATTGATGCAGACTGAAGCTGAAGTATGAACATTATAGGATTTATTTACAAAATAGAATATTTGAGTGAAATGTACATCACTAAATTTTTGTGACACCTTATTTTCACGAGGTAGTCTTTGAATCTTAATTAGCGAGACAAAATTTTTCCCAAATTGTGGTCATTGCTCTTTATATAATCTAATGGAATACTATTATATGCGAGAATGAAATTTTTGCGAGCACACTGTCTCACTTAATTATGCAAAAATAAAGTTCTTGCAGATAAAAAGTGATTAACAGTAGTTCAGGCATATTATACATTTTGTTTTTAGCTCACCTGAGCTGAAAGCTCAAGTGAGCTTTTCTGATCACATTTTGTCTGTAGTCCATCTGTCTGTCCTTCTGTAAACTTTTCACATTTTCGGCTTCTCCTCCAGAACCACTGCACCATCCAATTTCAACCAAACTTGCCACAAAGCATCCTTGGGTGAAGGGGATTCAAGTTTGTTCAAATGAAGGGCCACAACTTCATTCAAACAGAGATAATTCAGAAATAGTGAAAATTTGGTGGCATATTTTAAAAATCTTCTTCTCAAGAACCACTGACCCAAAAAAGTTGAAACTTATAGCCATTGTGCTCAGGTGAGCGATGTGGCCCATGGTCCTCTTGTTGTTAGTTTTGTACAGGTATCATTTAAAAAAAAATTGATAAATTGAATATTTAAAATTTCATTTGCAAGAAGAAGAAAAAACACCTTTAAGAAATGTCATATTTGAATGAAATCTACAATGTTTACAAAATTTACAGTAGATTTCAAGTTTGTTTTATTCAATGGCCCTAGATTGGATGGGACCACCAAAGAATGACAAATAAACTTGCAAGCATTATATTATTTCTATATATTTATATCTGTATATTTATATTCATGTACATGTACATGTATATATTCAACTCCTTTCAAAAACAACAAAATTACAGTTTTCAGCATCTTTTTTTTTAATTTTTGAAATTTGTATTTTTTTTTTTCTTTTTCTGTTGAGCAATATAAGGTTGAGAGTGGCCAATGAAGTTCCTCCTAAATTTTATATCTTTTTTGCTTTTTACAGTCTGAAGTTAACAGTACGCACGTACAGTTACAGATGGTTGTGATAGGAGACATCATGAAACATCACCAGAAACTATTCAAGGTGAGAGATTCTGACTTTTTAATGAAGTATTTTCCTGAGGTTTTGTCCGTAAGAAATCCATTACAATTTATTTCACATACAGATTTGAACAAGTTTTTCACTGGACCCTGTTGTACACATGTAATTTCTCTTTCGTTGAACTGTTTGGTACACATGTAATTTCTGTTTCATTGAACTGTGTGGTACATATGTAATTCTTTTATTGTTGAATGCTATGTTACATACATGTATGTATTTTCTGTTGTAGTTGGAGGATGAAGAAAAGATGATGCAGGAGAAAGTAGACAAGGGAAAACAGATTTTAGAAGTGATAAATAACAACAGAGAAGTAAGAGAGAGGATTTATACAAGTGTTTATTATTCCAAACCTGTGTTAGGACTTTCATTAATGATATGAAGTCTGTAATACCGTATACTATTATTGATTATGATTCTTATGTGCTGTGCCTTTATCATTTTTATGGCAGACAGTTATGTTGGATAGTTTTGTACTATGCTTGTTGAATCTTTTTTTTTCTCTATCATGATCAAGTGTTTAATTTTGTACTACAGAGCGTGGATATTAACGAGTCTTTGAAGATCAGTGTTTACTTTCTGAGTCGTAATGGCAACACCTACAACCCAGAGGTATAATCTCATCAGATACTAATTCATGTGATTCTGAAAGAGCTTCATTTTGGCAAACAAGATGCTCTCTCTCTTGTTTTTTTCTCTCTGCCTACTCCCTGCCTGTATTCAAAAATGTGCATTCAAAAATGAGGATAACAATTAATTTACATGTACACTGTATATAATGAATTTGAATGAATTAGAAACTGTAGAATAGTATCTTTGTTGGCATACAGGTAGAAAATTTATGAGCATACATGTTATAAAAAGGTTTATATCATGTGCAACTTAAAAATCATGGCAATGTACATGTATAATGTGTTTGTAAATTTTCAGATTAATATTCACACCACTGTAAAACAAGTGATCGATCAACTGAAACGCAAATTTAATGCGACCCATGAAGATTACACCTTACATGAAGTGCTGTGTGATGGAGGCTTAGGTAAAAAAAGTTGTTCAATAGTTAATTAAATGTACTTTAAATAGAAGGTAGATCGGCAAGTGGGTTAGCGTTCACTTCATATTTAATATTTTTGAAAGAGAATTTGCTCTTTAAGCTGCAGTTTCTGAACACTGTGTCCTGTATATAAGTTTATGAATTTTACAAATGATATCTAGTAACCTTAACCTGAAATTTAGCAAAAATACTGCGGTGAATTATATACTGATATGTACGTTCTGTATATGAATATTGTGGATATTGTATAAAATGCCAAAAAATTGAAATTTTAAATTGTTTGCACTTAATAGAGCGTCCCCTCCACAACACAGACACCCCCCACTCTGTGGTCAAGGCTTGGTGGGACTGGCCAGAGTGTTACAGAAAGCAGGCCTGTCTCTGTCTAAAGCCCACATCTGATCTCATGCTTAAACTGTCCAACATGGTAAGTCACCCACATCTGATCTCATCCTGATACTGTCCAATGTGCTAAGTCCACCAAAGAGAAAATTAACCTGGTATATCCAGTACAACATCTAAATGTGCTCTAGTTTATATGTTGTATCTAAGATTTTGATTTAACCTGAAAGGCTAATTGATAACAAGTATGCATATAAACAGATCAGATTTGTAGTGAAAAATGAGAAAAGTAACAATATTTATTTTTTAAATCTGAGAACAATATCCTTATTTCATTTCCTTTTGATTTTCATTATGATAAATATGTGCATGAACATGTAAGATCTCAACAAATCATACAAAGTATCTAACACACATTTTCAGTACGATCCGAGTCGAGCCCTGTTTGCAGATATAAAGTTGATAGAAAAGAAACCTTTGGGATTGCTGAGTAAATCCAATAAGTATGCATTCCAGTTCCAGCAGTCCAGACTGTCATACTACAAAGATGCCAAAGTAAGCTTAATTAAAAAAAAAATCTCCTTGTACAAGGTGGACTTGTGTTTTACTTTACCAGTGCACTGCACAAGTTATTCTCAATAATGGAAAAGTACTTTTTAACATTTTAATCAAAAGTAAGAAAAATAGCAACAGATACATGTGTATAGAGACATGGGCAGTATTTCTAAAGCACATGAAAGGAGCATTAATTTGTTATTTGTTTATTTGTAATAAATTGTATATTGGTGTTTTTAGTCAGCTGGTGGTTCACCGGTAGGGTCCTGGAATATTGAAGATTTGGTCATATATTATGGAATGGATCCCTTAGTTAGGAAAGGTGACAAGTAAGTAAAAATATTACTGAAAAAAATAACTTGAATCTGCATTAATCAGTACATGATGTACAAATACTGTCTTTCCTTTTTCCCCTTAAAATCTGCTTTATGCACTTTTTTTGGGTAGATATTTACTTGTGAAATACAGCAGAGTTTAAATTGATTCTTTTTAGGTATGGAGTCACATTTCTTAAAAAAGGAGAAATACCTGGGTGAGTTTGTATTGAATTTTGATCCACTACACATAATGATTTAACACTATCTCTTTTATCCCCTTCTAAAATATGTCCTGATAAATAGTTATTTTTGTTCTAAAGGAAAGTTAAATACAGCAAGGTTTTCAATTTAGTATACACAAATTAAGAAAAATATACCTTTATTTAAAACACTTAGAACCTGGATATTTTTCAGGTCTAAGGAGACCCCAATTTTTGGGCACACTTTGTGCTTTTCTTCAGAAAGCGAGTCACTATATTGGATGTCTGCTATGCTTGTAGCTCAGGTGAGTGTGAAAATTAGCACAGGAACAAAATATTAACACTATGATGACAAAGGTCTATAAATAGGAGAAGAAACATTATATATGCAAGTTTCGAGATTATCTCCCTTGGTGCTCTCTTTTGTTACGGAGGGGAGTTTTGTTTCCACGTAAACCGGCAGGTGGGACAGTTATTTATATTGGAAACCTTACATCACTGGTCTGTCATAACCGATTGTCGGGATGCACTCTTCAACTAAAAAATTACGGAATTAAAGGCGTCAATTTTTTTTTTTTCAACAAAAAAAATCAGAGCAAAAGAAAATATCAGTGGATAAGACATATCAAATGAGGGAAGAGATATGGATCTCTAATAAATACACATGCATCTGATCATTGCACATTGGCATTCTGAATGACACACCGACTCTTTCCATAATAATAATTTCAAAGAGCCCACTAACTTTTTAGAAAAGGTTTTTGCAATCAATAAACATCTTTCTCGCAAAGACTATGAAGGTTCTTTTGTTTTCAACTATCGTAATTGAGAGTAGAATTCAAAAACATGTATAGTAGAGCTCAATAAAATCATCAAAATCATTACTGCTTAGCATTATCATCTTTCTAGAACATTAAATGAATTTTAAAAGCTCTAGCCAGTAGCCATTACTCATTTATTTATGCAGGTTTCTATACATTAACAAATTGTCCCACTTCCATGCTGACACATGTATGGATACTTTTTGCACCTCTATCGTAGGAGAGTTACAATCTCAAAACTCATGTATTAGAATTATTATACATGTATGTTAAGAATAGAGCTATGTTGTTTTTGTTATGTTATACTGATGTTTATCATATAGATGTCTATTATACAGCACCCTGAAGGATTGCTAGTTTGAGGGTGCAGGGATTTAGCAGTATGTAGGTGTAAATACACTCCACATATCCACACATCCGTAGGAGGCTGAGATGGAAGACACTGGTTATAAAGATCACTACAAAGCTTCTCCTGTGGTGTTCAAGTAATCTGACATATCTTTGTTGAAGTGCACAGTTTGAGTGATTTATACGAAATACACTTACATGAATGAAGAACTACTTAATTTTTTAATGACCTGTATTCTCCATGTAGTATGCATTTCAATGTAAAAATTTCATTCATTTACACTGTATGTGAGATTTCTCTAAACACATTGCCAGAACTATGTTTGGAATATTTGTTCGGCTTAAGATGCAAGGAAGTACTAAGTTTTCAGTGGGTTGTACATCATTTTTCCATCAATTTTTTCAGACAAATCAACACATTTAATCACTATTCCTGTGTTCTACCTGTATAAATTATGGGTGTGTTTGAGAAATACAGTGTGTTAATGTGTTTAAAAAAATTTGTATCATGGCTGTGGTGTTTTTCCTTTGAAGTCAAGTGTACAATAACTGGAGATACACCGATGGGCGGAGCCAGCAAAACTGTGCCGTGTAAATAAATCATTGAACACCAAGGCGATTTCAACATTTTAAATTACATGTATATTGAATCCGAATTACAGAATGAAATGGGCTTTGTTATATACAGAGACAAAATTTTGTACGGAACTCTGCAAATATTCGATCCACCGCATCGAGAAATCAAGTTCTTGACATGAATTCCACAAATAAATACCTTAAAATGTCACACCTGTTGTAATAGAGATTTTTAGCAGGATATACCATCTTTGCTGTATTCTTTGCTCAACTAGAATAAAGTTCAGCTGCACTGCATCCATAGATGAAGAGTTATTAACACAGCGTTTTTGTTCATGCCACAGCTCTCGAATATGTCAAATGATCAACGGGTATCTTTTCTTTCTTGATTTTCGATTAACACCTGAATTTCCCTTCTTCAACTTCGAATTTTTCATCCTTGATATCCAAAAGTTTTATTTTGAATTTCATTAACAATCCGTTTTTATATTAAGTTGGAGAGCTGCAATCTGATGTCTTTTCTCATGAACACACACATAAAATGTGCGAATTAAAAAATACTGGCGGGAAGGAGAGAATATCCATGCGGTCACCTGACAAAAACTATATTTTTTTATTTTTGTAATTAAAAATCATGCTTGAAAATTTGGGACGTAACAATTATTGACGTTTTGATTGGCCATGATACAAGAAAGTTATTGAATATTTATTATGGTGTATCCTGATTTATTTGGACGAAGGGGCGGAGACTCGTGCTTGGCACTCGTCACCGCCCTTCGTCCAAATAAATCAGGATACACCATAATAAATATACAATAACTATTACAAATAAGATTGAACACTGAAATACAGTGTATTTTCAAAGTAGATATACAGTATTTTTCAGACTTGTGAATTTATAATGGAAAGATGTGATTAAAATGATCAATATAATTAATAGTTCTTTAGCTAGAAATGTAAATAAGTTATTTATGACAGGAATCATACAGGATTCATATTGTAGATAATGTATATATTATGTATAAATGTACATATTGTACATACATATTTCTATTGCATATTAATAAATAAAATGTAAATAGAGTATTATGTATATTTATTTCAATAGATGTTTATTTTTACTGTTGAGATATTATTTTCTTTTTTTTTTTTACGTGGATATCTTTAAAAAGATGGAGTCTAGAATGGAATATATTCAGTTCAATGATAAAAAAAGAAAGACTGGTTTATATTTTTTTTAGAGAATAATTGTACTTCTTTAGGTAATCGTTACCTGTAATAGATAAATCTTAATCAAACACTTTTATTACATACATCATAGTAGATTTATCAAATAGAAAAAATGCTTTTGTACTTTTTTGAAAGTGTTTTATTTGTTAAATATAATGTTGTAGTTTGATCTTTTATATTACTTGCGGTAATTAAATGTTTAATTTTTCCACAAAGTGCAATATACAGAAGTTTTATATGAAGTATTTTTTTCGGATAATAAAACACTTTCATGTATATATGTATTTTATCTATGAAGGTAGCTTAAGGTGTGTAATCTTCATTTACACATGTTGTAATTTTTAGTACCTTTCATGGTTACATGTAAATATGCAGTTCTTTCATCTTTAAATAAAGTTAATTACACATATGTTTCATATGATACTTAAATATGAATGGAAGTTGATTTTTACTTGTTTCATTTGAAATGGTCATTTGAAAATGATTTAACAGAGATGTGAATTTGTTTTTGTATTATGTGTATTTTTAATTATTTTGATATTTTATGGATATTTTTTTGTATACATTTATTTCACTGAAGGTTGACTGTTTGTACTTTGGGAGTTACTGAGTAGCATCTGGGTATACACTAAGGAGCAGACCTGTACTCTTGCTTATTCTTTTGTTTCTTTGTTATCTATTGGTTATCTCTGTAAGTTAACATACATGTACATTGGATTACCATGAAGACTAAATACTTATTTCTTTGAGTGATGAGGAAATACTGTGAACATGGAAACATTGATGATGTGGAAAGGTTGACAAATGACTAATAATAATAGTCAGAATTTCCATGAATCACTTATCTCATTCTTGTTAAAGAGTAATGTTAAATACTAATAAACTGTTAAAGTTTAATTTTTCTGAAATACTGAAAATATCAATGAAACCCTGGTGTCAGACTTTTCCTATACAACATCTAGCAGAATAATTTTAATGCAGACTTGCACTCCATTTCATCAAGTGATTTATCAAATGATCTGTTTAACTTCCTCGTGCTACATGTTACTTGCTTTGGCTGGATTTCGAAAAAATTAATAAAAGGGAATCGGGGTAAATAACTCGTATTTTGAAATGGAAATGAACAGTAATTACTTATAAAAAGATAATAGAGATATATATATAAAGATCTTTTTCTTGCTCTCATTTTGAATATTTTTTTCAAAACCTTGATGTACCATGTACATTATACATGTATAAAAAGGGTATTTATAAAAGAATTTAAAAGTAAATGCTAAAGACATTGAACTTTCCATTTGTCAATTTGCTATAACCTTTTTTTATATTTGACATTGAATTTTAGAACATTCTCCACTCACTTATAATTGGTTGTTCTGAAGCATCTTGTATACTTCTCATTACACAAATATAGCAAAGCTAGTGCTACTGCACTCTTTATTTAAGACAAATTTTGCACAGAATACCTGCTTTATCAGCAACAGCAAGCTTGTCACCAGTTACTGCTGAAAGGTGTATGAAAAATTGTAATCGGTTATCATAGTTGCTATTTTGCTACATTTTTCAGATGACTATGTACAACTTGGTCATGGTTGTAAAGTGTTGATAACTATTTATGATGTTCCATATAATAATTGCAGAAAAATGAAGCTTTAAAATTTACAAATTACCAAGGTATGATTTGACAATGTGTACTTAAAGCTCCTAATGTTTTAAGAATGTGCTACAGCAATAAATGTTTTAAAACTGTTTAAATGTTTCTGACTTGCTGAAATTTTGGAAGCATGACGTAAAGTACTCCTGTACTCCTTGTCAAAAACAAAAAATGGTGGTATTTTGTCCAATACTTTGTATTTAAAATTGGTATTGACTACTTTGTAGTTTTTGAGCATACCTCAAAATACTGTAGATTCCTAAATATACGCGAGGAATTAATTATCGCGTAATTACGCGAGAAGCACCACTCGCGAAATAAAATTACTCGCTTTTATTTTCATGACGCTTTAATATATGTAAAATCTCTAGATAAATCACCCATTCACGAATTATTTTTCTCGCGATTTGACGCCCTTGGGCCATTTCGCGATATTAAGTACTCTCGTAAAATAAGGAATCTACAGTAATGGACTGTCCTTATTCCAGGATTTTTGATAGTGATCTAAAAGAGAATAAAGGAAGTGTCTCCAAGGTCAAGAACATTCTAAAGAGCAAGAGCCACTTAGGAATTTTTTGGCCCTGAGAATTTCTGAAAAATCGAAACTGCTCAGTTTTGGTTAAAAATGCAGTATTTATAACTTGGACCCTTGGTGACCATGTATCTATTGAACATGACGTAATTTTCTCTCTAGTCAATGCATTATGACGTCATAAAATGCGTCATTTTCCCGTATCCTGTAAATTCCCTTAAAAATGGCCAAAAGTTGAGGTATTTTTTCAATATTACATATAGAGCACAACCTATGATCCAAAATATGCAATTACGTAATGAACAAATTGCTTCTGAAGATCACAAAACATGTTTTAATTTTTGGATCGTGAGCTGTGCTCATATTTTAATTCTTTGCTGAAGGTAGTCAAATACGCATGTTTTCTGCAAAATTCAAGAACAATTGCATTTTCTCAAAATCTGTTTTCCAATATCTGGATTCTCTTAGAAATTTTGTTATAGGAAATGAAAGCACTAAGTCTCTACTTTATTTTGATATATGAAATGGGACAGAGGGTGATAGTCAATTAATTGGGCCATTTTATGCATAAAGTGAACCTAGCTCTTTGTGACCTTTGAATATTGTGAGAATGATATAAAACATTTCAATATTTCTTCTTTGACCCAATTTGGTTTGAACTCCACCCAGTGTCCTGAGGCGAGGGATTGAACTCCACCCAGTGTCCTGAGGCGAAGGATTGAACTCCACCCATGTCCTGATCAAGGGATGTGCAGACAAAGCAGACCTTTGTGTAAAATTCATGTCTCAAAAAAGTAATGTGGAATCATTACAAATTATGGGGGCAAATTTTCATGGAGTTTTTGAATTTTGAATTTTACAGGTTCATGGGGATGTAATTATGTGTACTCATTTATATCTACAAAGGGTTAGATGACTGAAACAGTAGTTTATAAATTTGTGGAGGATGTTAATTCATGTATGAGAGGTACCCACAAATTCCACAAATATTGAGCCACCACAAAATCGAATGATTCCACAGTATGCCTAAATTCCTTGGCTTTATCTGCGTCATACTGTAAATGTATTACATTAAGCATGTACAATATTTGGCATTTATTTTTGAACAAAATGGCATAGATTTGATTTAGCGCATTTCTTAATGTTCTAATTTATGTGTAAAACATTTATCGTTGTACTTGATTTAGCGGAAGTTCCTTACCGCAAAAGGCGCTAAAAAGAATACACAGCGAAATATAATACGTTTACAGTAATTTAGTGGAAGAGTGTCGAATTCAGTTGATCTCAAAGGCCAAGGTTAGATCATCTTTATATAAAATTTTCTAGAATATATCTAGTAACATATTGGCCCAAGCTGCTATGAATTAAACTCCCAGGGGTCCTACTGGGAGGTTGATACCAAGTTTCTTACTGAAAGGTAGAGTTACACTATAACATTATGTACAATCTTAGTTTGGGTTTCTATTCTCTTCCAGAAGCTTTATCTGGTTCAATCATTAGGAGAAGGATGTGCTGTGACTTCATCAAAATTCAGTCAAAACACATATGTCAAAAAGTTTGCGATCAATTTTATAATTATGCAGATTTACAATATTTATAACCAAAATAAGATTGTTTATTTTCTGCACTGTAAATTTATATTCATTTGGGATATTATGTCGCAAATGGTCTATTGTATTCCATTTTGGCAATTGGTCCCAACCTGTGTGTTGTTTGATAAAGAATGTGTAATGACCATGCACATTTGTCTCGACATTTTAACTCTACTAATGACGAACAGCAACATCTTGGTATAATACTGGAATTCAGCATTCATGTTTCTTGCATGTGAAATATAGTTCCATTTTAACAATGGAATACAAGATTAACAAAGCATCAGCAATGACACTATTACACGTAAATTATATATACATGTAGTTAACAGATTTCTGACAGACATTTGTTCATAACTGAGCTTCTTCACGCACAACCTATTCAACTGTAAGTTTTGAATTCCACTTTCCCCTCCCCCTTATCCATTGTAAAGTAGCCTGCATGTTTGAAAAGGAATACACAAAAACCAATTCAAGTGTAAAATTTCATTATTGTATTGTATACATCTACATGTACAATAATATTTATAAAATATTCATTTTAACAAACATGGTATCAATTTGCCATAGTAAATGGACATAAGTATGTGGACTACACAAATCTGTAAATAACAAAGAAAAAAGTGCAATGTAACAGAGTGAGGGACACACAATTCTTTTTTAATGTGGAAGTTTTTTTTTCTTTATGAACTACATGTACTTTGCTTTCTTAACAACCGATCAGTTTTGATTGTTTCTTATCTTTACCTTGGCTCAATAGTTCTCATCACATCATGACTAAATTTTATGAAACTGGACTTAAATACACAGGAAATATATAAAAATAAATTTTCTAAATAAACCCAAAATTTGATGTTATGCCATATAATTTATACTCCTGACCCTATAAGGATATTCTACACTAAAGCTGCCTTCATTTCACACATTATATGATTGCCAGTTACACAAAGTCACAAGTGGTTATAATCAAAAAGTGAATTCCATGGTCACTGATTTTTATACCGGTAATTAATTTTCAGAAGTAAAGTTTTTAATCTTCTGATCCTTATGCTTAATTTGTAAATGATTTTCATTTTTCTTTTCTTGTTTTAACTGACATCTGAAATTTCAAATACATTAAATATTTGAGTTCATGTACCTTCATGTACATCAGATGACTCCTGTGAAATAAAGATTATCATATGAAAATGAAACTAATGCCAAATACAATACTTATTAATTTATTCAGGTCACAACCCATGTCAATTAAAATACTTGTACTATTACTACTGTAAATATGCTTGTAAGGAGTTTAGGCCATGTCTAATTTTGTGTTCTTCTTTCATTTGATAGTTGTTATAACTTGTACATGTATATCGGTTTCAATCCATTCAATATTTAATATTAGCTCAGTTTTTCAGGGGGATTAATATGGAAGTACCCAGTAAGTAACAACATTCCAAATATAAAATAATGAACAATTAAGGTACACACAAATCACTGGGTTGAGTATGGATGATGGTCAACAAAACTACAGAGAAAAAAATAAAAAATCTAACCCACACTCTTCCTCTGTTTATCTTTGTTCAGTCAGAAAACTCTGAGTAGTAATCAATAACTGGCTATATATATAAATACATGTACATGTGAATAAAATAACAAAGTGTAATACCATTAAATTATCACATATGTAACACAGAGCAGATTTTATTGCTTTAACAATCAGACCTTAAGACCATAAACTGAGAACAGACTTTAGTCAAAATTTAGATTATGAATTTCTTGGGTTTTGTTTGACATATGTGTTTTAAGAACTGCAGGACTGTATAATGTTCAAATATAAAAAAGTGATGAAAATTTTGTTAGATTATGAAAATTATTTCAAAAATTATATCAATTTGAAAATTCGACTTAAGTCTGTTCTCAGTTTATGGTCTTGGGGCCAGGACTTGAGAAACTTATCATTCTACATAATATCACATTATTCAGTTTAATATTGATGGATGCATAACTTTATCATATGCACAAAAGTAAGTAATACATTTAGTGATACACATTTCTATTTGAAGATATATATATATATATTTTTTTTAAATCAAGAATTGTTTTAGAGAGACTGTAGTCTGAAAGAAAGATTCATGATTTTCATTTTTCTTACAAGATGGGTAATTTCCCCCCCCCCCCCCCACCCCCCCAAACTCTCAGGTATAATAATAGTACAAACATACATTGTACACTAGTAGCTACCTGCTTAGTTTCATTTAATGGTGGTATATATACTATATATCTAGTATTTCTTGACTGTAAGAATAAATCTTTCAGCTATACACAGTGTAATTGATCCTTTAGTTTTCTCCTATTTTGTCCATGCCTAGATCAAATTGACTGGTTTATTTAAATACTGAAGCCTCATTATTGTTGAAAAGTATCACATTTATATTCACAACTTCCTGTTATAGACTCTGATACGTGTACAACATTCCTGCATAATAGAAGGGATAATAAGTATATATATAAAATTAAAAACTTAAACAGTGACTAATCAACGTGTTGAAATCGCCAAGGCAACTGAGGTCAGCTGACAGTCTCTGTAGCTACGTGACCTATAAGATAGACGTTGTCATAAAGGTCACCTGCTAGGTCATCATCAACATTCTGTGCTGCTCGGCGGGTGTTCTTGATGAATTCTCTCTTGGACATTTTGTTTTTTACTGCAGGACTGCTTAAGTCCACTGATAGCATGATCAGGGAGAAGCACAACACAAATACAGTATCTGAAAAAGCATTAGAAGCATAAGTCCACAATAAAATTTACATTATTTAAAAAGAAATACAACTTGCTTTTATATTTCATTTGAGATGATAAAAAAGTAGTAAATATCACTTATAAAAAAGTTACATCCCTTTACAAGCATAAATTGTTTGAGATGTGTACGTTACACAATTTATACCCTTTTTTTTTTTTTTTTTTTTTTTTTTAACGATTAAAAAACAACAAAACAATTATTACCTTTATCTAGTCCTAGTTTAGGATTACACAGGCAGAATCTGTCAGAGAATTTATCAATTATATCTGTCAGATATTCGCCCCTGTTGTTTGGAGCAGAGATGTTGCCAAACAGTTTTCGGAGGGCGTTAGGTAAAAACTGGTTTTGAAAGTTCTGTAACTGCAGAAGGTGGTCTAATACATCTCTCCTGTGAAAAAAAAAATCAATTAACAAAAAATAAAATTGCCAATTTTATAATAAATCATAGCACAAATTTTGCATTGAGTTAACAAGATTTTTTGTGTTATATGCTTTTAACCAGCACCAGACATTTGTGATATTTTCATTGTACTTCTGCTAAGAATATTCAAGAATTCAAATATTATTTGATATACTTTCATTGGTTTGGCATTCTATGATACTGAGGGGTAAAAGTACATGTATTAAGTATTTTGGGTGAAAGGTCCCCTCCAACAAATTATTGTACAGGTACATGAATTATTCAAAATTTGGTGCAATGACTTGGCACGGTGAGGTTGCTGTAACCATGAATTATCACTATAGATTTCACACCATGCATTTTTTTTTATTTATGATTTATTAATGGAGCTCATGAATTACAATGTACTGCATTGTTGTTCATGCCAAAGCCAATGAAATATAAAGCCCCCCCCCTTTTTAAGTACACCTACAGTAATACTGTACTTGGACTTGATGAGATAATGGCATTATTTAGATACAGTGTTGTAATTACATGTTAGTAAGACAACCTTGTACTATACTCACCTCATATCTAAATATTCTCTCTTTTTATCAGGCTTTATTTTATTTGTGAAGTGTAAAAATTTTGCCATTTCTAATGCATTATTTTCCATAATGCCTCTTTTGAAAAGATATTCCTCTCCCTGCAAAAGATATCAGTGTTCCACACGTGAAAAAAACAGAGGTACTGTGACCACTGAGCTCTAAATGATACCCCTACTTTCATATGAATACAATGGACAAGTTCATGTTTTGTTACCAGAAAATTCCAATTGCAAGTGTCTGTATAATCAAAACTAAAAATAGTAGGTGTACAATGGCACTATGTAATAAGTCACACTAAATTGTAATCAGTGGTATAGGAGGAGTTGCAAATAAGACATGAGTACCCAAAATATTATAGAAAGAATGGCACTTTCCATTTTTTGCTATGGGAAACTCCAAATATGTGTCTGATCAAAATGTAAAATAGAAGGTGTGCAATGGCACTATGTAATTAAGATTTTGTTAAAGTTTCAATAAATTTTATTCAGTGGTATAGATGGAGATGCGGATAACATCGGATGGCTACTCCTAAGTGTTAAGGATGGATGGAAAGATGAATGGGTGGACAGAAACCCTCATCACTATATACTCCTGCTTATCAAGCCAGGGTATAAAAAGGAAAAGTATGTCTGAAATACAAATACAGCAGCACAGGAGGTCTAATGGACCCTGTTGTTCTTCATCAGAAGATTTTTTTTAAGTTTTCCTCCTTAATTTAATTAAAATTTTTGACTCCATATTGGACCAAAATGTAGCTTTCTCATAAGTTTCATCTATCCTGGCTGAGTGGTTTTTGAGAAGATGGTTTTTTTAAGATGTCATTAATATTTCAATAATTCTTTATTATCTCCCCTTGAAATAGGGAGTGGCCCTTCATTTGAACAAAATCCAAGGATGCTTTGTGGTAAATTTGGTTGAAATTGGCTCAGTGGTTCTTGAGAAGAAGTCAAAAATATGAACAGTTTACAGAAAGATGGATACCAGACAAAATGTGATCAGAAAATCTTCTTGAGTTTTCAGCTCAGGTGAGCTAAAAACTAGACCTAAAACAGTCTGTCATATCTACCAGTACTCATTTTATAGATCTTTGGACAAAATGTAAACATGATCGCTTTATCATCATCGTCGGAAACCCATGGCCAATCTAGCATACACTTATTGAATAAGCGTATGCGAGATTGGCTGTGGGTTTCCGACAATGCTTTATCACATACATAGAAAATTGGAGCAAATCTTAGCAGAGGTGATGCAAATTAAGTTGCTACTGTACAAGTTAAGATTCACAAAATTAATTTATAAACAGACTCTATGTCAGGAATAAAATTCTCAAGTTTTTATTGTTTTGGATTATTTCTATTTTCATAATTAATGTTTATAAATATGTTGCCAAAGTAGAAGTCATATTATAACATTTTTTTTTAATTGGGAAATTGTCCTAAAAAATCACAGTGAAATAAAAATCTTCTTGCCTCAAATGGATTGCCATTAAATGTGAGTGATGCCTCATCCAACAACAGGAAAAGTTTCTTATAAGACAGTTTCACTGGTTGTCTTATGTACTTATACACACTGGCATATCCCCAGGATGCCTTACACAATCTGGAAAGGAACAAATAATATAAAACCATAAACTGAAAGTTAAATGTTTGGGTATGAATTGCACAAAAATCAGTTTACAGTAAAACATGCATAGAGCAAACATGATTCTAATAAATTGATGCTTACAGTGAAGTTATTTTCATTTCCCTCGACTTTAGAATATATTGAACACTTAACGATGATAACAAAATATGCTTGTAAGGAAGCAAAATTGTCCATCCCTCGCATGTCGAGTTATAAGCATGTTTTACTGTATTCTATTGTATTTGCAGTTTTGCGCTTATTTTTGAGGCTTAGTGGAGAGGTCACTTTTTTTCTGCTGAACTTTTCAGCTAAAAAATAACATTCTGACATAAATATTATGTCTGAGAAAATCCAAATGGTACAAGAGAAAAAATATCTGAGTCAGTATAAAGTTGTAAAAGACTCTTTAACCTGAAATAATATGACAATGTATGGGTCATTGTGAAAAAGGTGAAGATAACAAACAGTGATCGATCTCATTAAATATACAAACAATTACAAATTTGTGAACAGGGCATAAAACACAGAAAATTCCAGAGGTGGGATCAGGTGTCTAGAAGGAGTAAGCATCCCCTGTTGACCAGTCATACCCAATCAATATCTCATTCTTTGCTTTCAAATTTTATCATAACTACTGACTGAATTTTCAGTGAATATCATGAATATGGATTTTACTCATTTTGTATTCCTTAATCCATAAAAACACTGCTATGTGAACGATTTTCAACAATGACCAAAATAGTTTGGCGTAAAATTGAAATATAAAAGATACATATCAAACTATGAAGAAATAATAAAACTCACCCCATCCATAAGACATCGTCATTGGCCAAGTTATCCCAGACACAGGCAGCTAGACACAGATCAGTGGCATCTAAATGGGAGAGGATAGCCATGCTGATTTCCGGCGGCAACTCCGCCAGGTTAGGAAATGTTGTGGCCACCACCTGGTTGTTTTCAACTTCATTTTGTGATTCTAAATGCCGCCTTAGGATCTGTCCCATATCCTATATATAACAAGAGTCTCATTGGTCAAACACTCACTTAGGTCATGTTTTTCTTTATGACAGCTACACAAAACACATAATTGTGGCTATCAACTTAAATTCCATTGTTTCACCAATTTTAAATGAAAGTTTATTGTGGCATGGCAACAAATTTAGAGATTGCAGACTTGTTCTTCTTATGAAAGACTTTATATTCATTGTAATTTTTCTCTCCTATTGTGGCCCAATCCTAGCCCAAGAACCCTGTTTGAATAAACACTTGACTCAACTTTTTTATAAGGAAGCTGAAGTATTGCAATATGAACTGTATATCATGACCCTGTTCTTCTTTTTCATCAGACTTCACAGGAATTTTATTTATATATTTCTATTTCAACATGTTCAAATGTTGACTCCCTGTTGTTGCCCTATCTTAGCTTATATAACAACAGATACAACACTAAAATGCATTTTCATTATTTTGGTTTTCATTATTTGGTCCAACTCCCCCTGTTCTTGAGATAAAGATTCCCTACTTGGTCCTCAGTGTCAGGATCTGAACAAAGCTAAAAGTACATTATATTGAGGCCAAAAATAAAATTAGCTTTGTTTGACGTTGCCGGCTGACTCACCTAAATCGGATACTGATCATAATTTTTATTTTGTTATATTCATCCAGATTTAGGTGTTTGTATGTTTGCGTAATATAGACAGAAGGGGAAAGAATCATGTAAACGCTTGATTGATCAAACAGTTTTCATTTATAAGCGTCTATGTGATGTTGAATTATTGAGTATCACGAATCCAAGCATGGCTGTCGAAAGCGGTAAAATGTAAACTCGGTATAACAGTCTAACAGAAGTTGATGGAATGACTCTCTGTGGTAATGTGGTTTAAAAAGTAAACTGATGAATAAGATATACCAGTTCGAAATAGAAATTTCACGGTACAATGTCCTGTCCGGTTTGCTAGTCTAGCTGCCATGCTTGGATTCGTGCACATGATTCGAATTTACACTAATTTAATGTCAGTGATTTTTAATACTATGTATATAAAAGGTTTAAAACTAATAGGGTTTGAAAATCAATGACAAAACTGAGAATCAATTCGGACTGTGGTTGTTGTTAAACTATCAGAAACCTGTGACGTTCAGATACTAACAACATGTACCATTTCTGAAATTTAAATAAAAAAAATATTTTCCCTACCTACCGACCCGAACGTATAAAGACCAAGTCGGCAATGCCAAACCAACAATATTTAATTGTGGCCTGAGATACTGTACTTACACAATGTGGCCGGATAAAGAGAATTATCAGTGTCTTCAATATTCCTATGTAAAAACTTTGAATAGTACTCTATTGTAGCACCACATTCATCCAGGTGACCATTATTAGCAGTGTGAATTTACACTTTAATGAGAGTAACTCCCTGTGCCTCTCTTGTTCTTGAGAGCAAGGTGGTTTAAGACTGTTTTATAGATAACAATTAGGAAAACATCCTGATCTGGGGAAAAAGCTCACAGGTTGTCCTAAGTCATAAGCCAGCTAGGGGAAGTCTTTTGGTGATGGCCTTATGAGCTATACACAGTGACACTGTAAACAGAACTAGACAGATAGACATGCATAGCTAGTATGAACCCCTATAATTTGTACCCCCTAATCTTTACTTTGTAAGAAATTTCAAAAAGCTTGTTTTCAAGTCCGTTTATTCTTTAGAGGATGATAATCATATGATGCCATCTCTTTTTTATCTCCCCTGAGAAAAAAAATCATTAGGTTATCCTCAGTTTATACAAAACTGTATCGATCCCCATCCATCCAAGAATAATTTGTGGTAATCTGATTGGAATTGATTGAAAACAGATCAATGTTTTTGAATAACAGGCACCAGTCAAACAAACTTCTAAAAGAAGCTCCCCTGAGGCTTTGGCTCAGGAGAGCTGTAATAAATATTTCCTTATGAGAACTACAGTATGGAATAATGCACAGAGAAATAACTGTGGTCAAATCACACATTTCCTATCAACGAATTTAAATAAAAGTACCATTTTAGTGAAAAATCATAGCTTCGTAGACAGTGATAGCAATAAGAAATGATAAATTATGTTTGTTTACCATGATTACATCGAGGAAATTCAGGATAAAAGACAATCGATAATTTTATGAAATCAATAAGGGTTGCTATTAATGTAAAAAAGAATGTTACTTACAAATTAAACTCATTCCACTGAACTACATAATAGCACTTCCGTGACCAGTTATCAATGATAATGCATTGTAAAAAATTACAAAATGTAGAAAATGACGTGGAACCCTGATTTGTTTTTATACTCAGCACTTCATGGAACGAAGGAATTTCATTGGTTAAAAAAATATTTGCTAAGATTTATGAAAATTCAATTTTTTGTGTTAAAAGGTTTGCGGTTTTTATTTCATTTCTAGTTTAAACAATGTGGAGGATTTTTTAACTCATTTTTCAAAATGTACAAAAAAGGATGTATAATAATCTTAAGGTAGTCCAATCCTCAGGTTCTGAAAATCAGCTTTTAAGTGATTGAAAATGCTCACAAAAATGTCTCTGATTTCACCTAATAACGTGAATTTACCCATTGAATTTCTTCAAAGTTCGTCATTATAGTTAATCATATTATATAGGGAAAATTATCAAATCTCAAATATATTTTCAGGAAATGTGAATAAAAACACTAGCTATGCATTTTCTAATTGGAAATTGATCAACAAATATAATTTAGGATAGTAAAATATAGGTATCCAGGCATTTGGAGAAAATTTGATCTTTTTTATGCTTATACAGTATTTTAGTTCCTCTTTTTACTTCAATTGTGGTATAACACATAGTGTAAAAAGTTTGTGCTATCATTGCTAGACATCACATATCACGTCTAATTTCATACCATGCTAAAAAGCAGTCGTAACTAATGCTAGACTAAAAAGGAAATTCAATTTCTCTAAAAATGAATTTTTTTTTCTTTTGTGGGATACAAATTTCAACTTTTTACAAGACCGTTTCTAAGACTTCAAAGAACCTTAAATCATATTAAGATGCATAAAATGAAAATTGTTGCACGAAAAGATCTCAATTTCAAGCTTCATTTTGAGACTTTTTAAATAAAATAATAAATTTAAGAGTTATCCTTCCTGCCTGAGGATCGGATATCCTTAAAGGGACATGGACACAGTTTGGAAGTTAATAATATCCTTCTTTTTTTCAGTTGAATTTTATGACTTATATGTTGCGATCTCCAGCGTGTCATACCAAGGTGCACATTCATAAACGTACCTAAAAATTATCAAAAGCTAACGGGAGTCTTTGTCACACATTCTTCCACTCTCAGGTACTAAAATTTATCCTTAATATTTAGGGAAAATGGGAAATCTGATGTTTTTATGGAAAGAGAGAGAGAGAGAGAGAGAGAGAGAGAGAGAGAGAGAGAGAGAGAAGAAAAGTACAATCAAGAAAAGAGTAGAAATCCCAACGCAACCAGTGTTGCTCTGTTCAATAATGTAAGCAGTGCTACCAATTAGCAAATCAAACACATCCGTAAAATATTAACATAAACAATGAACATTTACATACACAGGTATTTATTGGTGTAAGGTTGTGAAGAATGCCGTTGTCATTGAATATTTAGAATTTTCATCTAAGTTCAAGTCATTAAACTGAAGTTATATATAAATTCCAAATTGTAAACAATTCGAATAGGTGATATATCACCTATTCATTTCCAACAGGTGATATCACGTATTCGAATAAGTGATATCACCTATTCAATTTGAATGATATCACCTATTCGAACTCACAAATCATGAGGATTATTTTCAATATCGATCATTGTTCTATCATCATTGACAGAGATTTGCTGAACTTCATCGCGAAACATCAAGATAAACATTCAAATCTTGGAGCTACTAGGCGAACTTTCATAATCAAATAACTCCCAATTCTAGGTCACTGCGTGTCACAACATAGTTGTTTAATATTTCTTTTCGAATATTCGTCTCAAATGTAAATGTAAAATTTTAATAAACAACAATGCCGGGAAATCACCGTGTATATATCTCAACATGTGGGGTGTATATGCTATGTTATACACGAGTTGTATGGTTTCGAAGCGATATAAAGAGGGTCAAGGTACGGGTTTTTTTTCATCCAATTTATGGATACATTTCGCCGGAAAGCATATGCTTACGGAAGAAAGCATTATTTTAGGAGTACATGGATACCAGTGAATCTACTGTAAACTTTCTAGTTTATCTTGAACTCCTCAACATAATTCCGAAGATCGGAGCAAGATTGAAGTTGCTTTGGGTTTATGATCAAATATTTACATTTCCAATGTCTTTGTCCGAGATAAAATTACAAATTGTAAAAATACTTTATTTCTACATAAATTTACTGGTTCATCGATAGGCGCGGTTAAAAAAAATCACGTGCGGGGCGGGACACATAGAGACAGAAGCGGGGCTTGTAGCATATGAATTTTGCAGAATCAAGAGCATGTAAATATAAGGAATAACTGTCAGATTTTTTGGATTCATGACGATGATCAATCGATTGGCTTGCGTGATAATTTTATACATAAACGCCTTCGGCGTTTATGCAAATTATCACGCAAGCCACTCGATAATTCACATCATGAATCCAAAAAATAAGTCAGTTATTCCTTAAATATCAGAACAAAGCTTTGCTATATCATCACTTCTTTTTTTTTTATATATATATTTCTGTTAAACAGATGTTACTTATATAAATGTATGTATAAATTGTCTGGAAATAAAATAGTTCGTATTTAAAGATATTAATGGAAAAATGAATGTTGTACCCGCAGTGTATGCAACCTGTTGGGCCCGAGCTGTATACCCCTTTTTTTTCTTACTATCCTGGAACGAAATATCATTAAAAACATAACATATACAAGAGATTGTTGTGATAGTTTTATTTAATGTTTTATATGCAATATAGCGCAACCCAGAGTACATGAAATCGATTTACAGAACGAATTTGATACATGTTTATCTCCCTTTTAATCATTCCATTTTGCTTTGCAGATAGATGTAGAGATTCACCATACATTGGAAGTTTGTAATATTCAAAAACATACTCAAATACAAATCAAACCAATCATCAGACCCAATATGATGACCAACAAATCACCCCTTTCTTTCAATTTAAAGGCAACTCATGCAGATGTTTTCCTAAAGAATGTTTAATATGCATCATTTTAACAATTAAATTTATGTTTTTCATGATTTCTGCTTAAGATATTTAGGTGTATTTATATTTAAGAAATGAATTTCATTTTTACCCGGCGTATTTCATGAAGCGCGTTAACTCTGAATAAATAGCTTTTTTGGTCTTTTTGTAATGTCATGACAGGCCCGTAGGAAGCAATTTCAGTTGGGGGGGGGGGGGGGGGGCACAGCCATACATTTTCAGTCGAGAGGGCATCAGGCATTTTTATTGAGGGGGCACAAGCATATAGTATTTATTTTTTCTACAGTACTCTATATGTCGGCAAAATTATTGGGGGGGGGGGGCACGGCCCCCCCGTCCCCCCCCCCCGGTTCCTACGGCCATGCCATAAATATCGCACAATATAAACAGACCCACGTCTGTTATCAGGGAAGAGTTACTTAATTTAATTATTAGTTCTAACATGATATTTCAAAATTATTATTAAAATCCATAACATAATAAAACTGTAATTAAGCTGTAGATAACTCATGTTCAAAGCTGAACAGTAATAAATAAGAATTTAATGCATTATGATAATTTTAATAAATTAGACATACGTAGATCAAATTAAAAAAAAAAGACTGGGTAATTAAATATAAAATATAAAATTAAATATAAAAAGTATAAATAATGATAATTTTAAAAATCAAACATTTTTTTTTGAATTTCCGAAATACCTACGTGTAGTCTATTTTGTGGTGTTTGGTGGTGGTGGTGGTGGGGGGGGGGGGGGGGGTTGGTTGACAAGTTGCTTCCCTTCGTATTATTTATATGCTGTATACTATGCCCCCAGGAGCCCATATTTTGGCAATTAATCATTTGTATTGCATTGTAGCATTGTATCGGACTGTTTTCAGGAGTCGTTATTTTCCAAGGGGGTGGGGGTGGGTGGAGTTCAAGGTAATTTTGTTGGTTTCTTTCCTATATAGATTAATAACTCTGAAAATTCCAGGAGAAACGAAATGTTACAATTGTGTCCAAAACATTGAGAGTAGCGAGTCTTCTCTGAAATTACATTCTACCACGTACCCTCACCCCACAACCGCACAGAATGGTTATCCCTTTAAAATGTTCATTTTTATAATCGACTTTCTTTCTTATAAATAGTTTGGCGAAATATGAGATCTTTTCAAATGAGGGAATAAAATGAGCTTATCTATTTCTGAAACTGAAAGGAAATATATATGTGAATGGCAAAAAATATTGATTATACATATGAATTTCCAGGGGTCCGTGTTTATACCCTGTTCACAGATTTGTATTGGTTGAAGTCCTTATGAGATCGATCACTGTTCGTTATCTTTACCCATTTCGAAGTATTGAATAAATATATATTCATAATACACAATTTATACAGTGTTTGTATTATGTTTAACAGGGCGAAATTATTAGATTTGAATGAGCTGAACTCAAGAAGGGCAAAAGTGTCCTCAGTGCGAGGGGGGGGGGGGTCGTTTGGGCGATTCCATGATTATGTAGATTTAAACCAATGCAACATCTAGCGTCAATTCTGATAACGTTCGTTCTTTGCAAACTATCTAGCGATAATTCTGTTAATGACTGTTGTGATCGTTCCTTTAGCAATTGTTAACTGAGTCTATTGATTTTTAAGCGTGTTTTTGTACGTCAATATGTTTTTGGAAATTAATTCTTGGCTCGGCATTAAGGTCCTTTTTAACATCTTCTGTCGCTTTTACACTTGTATGTATAATATTTTCAATGATTTTTCGCACTAACATTTGTAAGAAGAAGAATTAAGCAGTATACACCCCGGGTTCAATAGATTGCATACACCCCGGGTACAACATTCATTTTTCGTCAATACCTTTACATACGAACCATTTTATTTCCAGACAATTTATACGAGGTATCCATATACTCCTAAAGCAATGTTTTCTTCCGTAAGCATATGCTTTCCGGCGAAATGTATCCATAAATTGAGAAATTGGACAAAAAAGTACCTTGATCCCCTTTTTATCGCTTCGAAATCATACACCTCGTGCAAAACATAGTGTTGGGATATACACGATGGAAATTAACTTGTTTGGTACGTGATCAAATCTACTGAAAAGCCCCTTCCGGCATCACAAGATTTGATCAAGTGACCAACCACGTTCATTTCCCAGTGAACTTTTTAACATTGTTGTTTATTTCTTAATTATACACGTAGGCTCAATGTTGAAACAATATGGTTGTTGTGCCAATATAGATTTTTTCATTTGTTTTGTTTGTTTGTTTGTTTTGTTTTTTTTTACTTTGTTTTTCATTTACTGTTGTTGTGATTTTTTTTATCCTTAGAGTCTTTACATCATATACAGCTGGCTGGTCTAAACACAGAGCTATCTGGCAATCTATTTGGACTGAATAGATAGGTTAATGGCAGACAAACAACTAAACAATAAAAATAGAAAAATAACAAATAGTAATCAATCTCAAAAACCCAAAATATGATCATCAGTTGAGAATCCCCTGTAGATCGGTCACTCGATCTCGCCGTACGCAAGTCCTTAGTATGCAAGTAATGTTCTAATAATTTTCATTAAAAACGTCAGTCAAACTCGAGCTAAAAAGTTGTATATGACAATTACACAGATAATTTCAGCTTTCCGTCATCAACTTCTCCTATTTATGTAGTAATATTCTATCACCTATTACGTTTATTCGGTATGCAAGAGAATGTTCCGAGTACGATCAATTTTTAAACCGATACAAACAACTGACAAATAAGTTGATGTTATTGGGCTTTCAACATTGTTTAAAGTCATCATTTCTACAGTGTAAATTCTCTTGTTGTTAAAATAACTTTTGCATATATATATATATATATATATATATATATATATATATATATATATATATATATATATATATATATATATATATATATTAGGGATGGCAACGAATATTCGAACATTCGAATATTCATTTGATGAGTTGATATTCGAATATGAATTTAAGATTCGAATATTCGGTGTTTTTCAGATTTCATAAAAAGAAGTACTGTGATTAATAAATTTTGATTAGAACAGTGCTGGAATTATCCCTCTTTAATTTACTAGCGATCAATTTCGATCGTCTGATTTCTTTCACTACTTTCTTATCTTATAGAATTACTAAATTACATGGATTTTGTTTTGAGTAAGGTGTTAAAGAATTGTACAATAATGCTTTATGTATAATACAAAACTTTCATAATTTTTATTACATGTAGTTAAATACGATCGGGTCTAGAATAGAAGACAACAAAATGAAAACCTTCTTAGAATGTCTAAAAGACGTGAATAGTATACTTATCAAAACAAATTTAATTGATCATTCAAATGAATGTCCACTGTAATTAATTTTGTAAAGGGCTCAATTTCAGAATAAATGATTATATCTTGGGTTGTACATAATCCTGAATTTTATATTCATTATCGGGAAATTAGTTAATTACCTAGGAAAATTGTCTATGGAAATATTTATTTATATTTTAAAACCATTGTATCAAAGATTATAGTCACATCTCTTATTAGGAAGATAATTGTAATTTATTACACGTATTGAAATCTGGACAGTATACCGTTACGACTATATCTTGCCTTTGGCAAGACGACTGGTTCCTCAGTCGGAGCTACTATAAATACATATGTTTCATTTGTTAAAAATATACTTTTCTACATTTAAATCAATTATTTATTTCAAACATTGACAAATATCAAATGGAATTTTATTGCACACCTACGAAAGTCTTCATACAAATTTACTTCCAATATAAGTATACCTACGCTAAACCTTTCATGAGAGTAGGATGATGCATATTTAAAATAAAACAGATTTTATTTATTTTATCGAATATTCGAATATATTCGAATACTTGCATTGAATATTCGAATATGAATTATTGACAAAATTGACATCCCTAATATATATATATATATATACAAACTATTATTGGGTAGAATATTTTACTGACACGTTTCTAACTAATTGTTAGGCTATTGTTTCTATACTGATTTTGACTACCCAGATTTATAATGGATCAACTCAGAGGATTCACGGTGGGGGTGACCGGTAGACAAGGAGTGCTTTCCACTCCTAGCTAGGCACCTGATTCCACCTCTGAAGTTTCCATGCAGTCCTTGTTATTCAGTCACATGATTGGCCGTGACAACAGCAAGGGCGGACCCATCAATTTTTCCTAAATTAGTGAACAAACTTTTTTCAAAGTCGTCATTTCAAATACATAGTTTTGTAAGTTCGGACAACAGATTTGTCTCACAATAATCAGGTGGTACAGCTTTGCAGTTTCACGACCAGTGTTGTGACTGAGTCACTGCTATTAGACTCTTTTACATGGCACGATTTTAGAGCAGCCATAATAAATAGATGGGACTGTCGAAGTTTGGAAAGAGCAAGCTCATCGTAAAATCCTTATCCACAGACCCTTAGATAAAACCCTCTAAGTCCTAACATACTAGTACTAGTATTTTATGAATAAAATATAGGAAAACTATAGATATTATTTAAATACTTCATTAGAGTACCATTGTAGAGATTTTCCTGCATTTGAGAGTGTGTCAAGATTGGATACTAGTATTTCAATCCTTCAAGTCTTTAATCCAATAAGATTGGGAAATAATTGTACAGTTTCGATATTTCAAATATCGGTATACTTGTATTTATAACATCACATACAAAACAAATTCATTAATATAGTAAGTGTAATTTCTTTGCATTGAAAATGCATCAATAGTTCCTTCATTCAACAGTCACAGTCTTTATACACAGTCTCAAATAATACCAACAGACAGATCACAGTTTTGCGTCTTTGACGATTATTCAAAAAAGATACCATGAACCATGGCAATGGCAAACAGAGAATGGTTTTTATACTCAATACAGGAGTAATTGTCCGTCTTAGCATCCCAGAGACATCGACTGGCCACCTCCAAACCCTGCTCCGAGCACTGTCCAATAATAACGTTACAGATAATCTTATATCGGGGAAATTCCATATTTCTGACTTTATTTCGAATCAGTTGGGCAAGATCACAACATAATTTACTGGCAGTTTTATTGTCATATGACACGCTGGACAGCTGTTCACCTAAAATCTCTTTGACGGCGTTCCGTACTTTCCATGGCACGAATGTGCTGTCTTCATCCGGAGTCATCTTGTAAGTATTTTCCATCCGAACTTTAGGTTTACAAGCAATGCTATTTTGTTCCTCTGGGAGATCTAGAAGAGCTTTAGTAAGACGACGACCCGCTAACGCGGTGGTCCCGGACATTTTCATGATGGACTTTCGGCGACCTCCTCCCCCTGGGGGTTTGATGGACTGTTTTCTGGAGGATTTGCTACCCCCAGAAACATCCGCGACGTCATCTGTCACCACAACAGGAATGGACTCCTTCATCTGTCAATAAAAGAAATCAAAAATGATTAAATTTCTGCTTACCTTCAAAAATTTATATGAAAACGGGAATGCTGCGGTGTGATTTGTCCTTGTAACCATTTTATTCCGGTCATACGACGCCAAAACTATTCAGAATCTGAACAAGTGATTTCAAACGTTAGTTTCTGTGCGTAGATTATTTATATATGTATGGGGAAAAAATAAAATGATCGGCTATCTAATTATATTAAACACTGGACATGGATTACCAGTATTAATGGTCGATGCCTGTGCAAATATAACTATGCAATCAATATATACTGGTTTTATCCGTGGATGGACTATTAACGTTGCCCTATGATTTCTAAAGGGTCAAAGGTTCAAGATTTTTATTTTATGCCTATTAAACTAGAATAGCTTGAACATTTTTCATAGTTAACAGTAAAACTAGATTCATTTTCCCTCTTGATACTAGAAACAATTTGTTCTCAGATTAAGTCTCCCCCGACAAGAGGAGACTTATTTTATTGCATTTGGTATAGTTATCTGTGTGTCTGTCCGAGACATATGGTAACTCTTAAATCCTTTATTGAAATGAATTCAAACTTTGGATGTTTCCCCTTAACATAAAGGTGAGTCAATGTCATATCCCAAGGTCAATATACTAAGTAGGCGCTGGATAGTAAAATGGTTTCAGGAATTTAACTCTGGAATTCTTGACTGGTTAGCATGTTGTTGCTGATGACCTTGAGGTGCGTTATGATCTCGACACAGGGTCATATATCAAGGGCCAAGGTTGTTGGTCATAGAAATATTGAAATTATTATACACTGTTAACCATTACTTTTGGCATTAATATTTTATTGATAAACTGCAAACAAAATTACGAATTTAACATAAACCCTTTTTTCTATTTTTTTTTATTACCTTGAAAACATTGAAATTGTTTGTCACGTGTACAGGAACAAGTAACAGGAAAAATAATTTTAAAAAATACCCTGGATCGACGTAATAAATAATTATTGTTGTACGGGGGGGGGGGGGGGGGTCACAAGGACATGTGTCTTCAATATGCCTTACCCCTTAAGTTTCATCAATACGATAAAGGTGGTAAACTTTACAGGATTATATAAACAAAGGGAAAAACATACTAGCTATAGTGTATGATAACTATTATTATGTAACTAACGGTAACTAATCCATGAAGTATATATGTAGATTAAACTATTTTGTCTGAGTTGTTTTAAAGGCTTAATCTACGTCTTTGACGATCAGTGCCATGATATGTATGCATCATAGCTAATCTTCTTAAAAGAATTGTTAATTAAAAATTTAAATCATGGTGAACATATTAATGAAAAAATGACTTACATATCCAGAAAAATATATTTCTACACCACCAAATGGTGGAAACAATAAAAAAAAATCAAACAACTTTGAATAATTCAACGACATTAATATTATAAAATGTAAGAAGTTTCTGGGACTTACCGAATCCATTGTCAAGACTTCTGTGAATTTTCACTCTGCAATAGATTGAATTCAAGACATAAATTGTTTCACACGAGACACCATTTGTCTGTTTTGACTACAAATATGCAGTTTTGTGGGATGAAATTAAATACACTTCACGTAACCTAGTTCATAAAAATTCAGATCAAGTATTTAAAAAAGATAATTTGCAATATAGATTGATTTACGGGAAGCAGTGCAAACAATACGCAAGATTACTATTTGTTCTTTTTTGTGTTACCTGTTTAAATTGCCCGAAGACGTTTAAAAAATGCTCTTCCTCTATAGAAGATACGATAATTTCAACATTTTTGATCTTTTTTTTTGTTAAAGTTATCACATTGCACATGTAATGAAGATTGCTTATAAAAACGGAAGTGTGTAGAAATGTGCAGAATTTTATAGTTAAAACACTACAAAGTTGCATCCCCAAACTGTTTTAAATGTTTATGTTCTGTTTTTATGAATGACATTAACCCATATTTAAGCTCATTCATATTAAATCTGGTACGAAAATGGAAATGATGCCCTAAAAAATGTTTAAAAAAGAATTCTTGCTTCTTTAATGAAATACATATATATATACACACAAAACAAACAGACAATTATAAAAACAAAATTTAAAAAAACAAAACAATAACTTACAAAGAGAATAAATAAGAAATAAGAATAAGCAAATCCCGATACTGACCTTTTAAGTCAGGTGAAACCAGATATCACCACTTTCGCTGGAATAATACACTCTCTCTTTTTTTCTCCAAAAATTTATTTTTAATTAAATCTCTTCACGTTTATCTCAGTCATATTTATTCATGATGTGTTCGTTGTATTCTACAAACGCATTATGCGCACAAAATGTATTCAAATCACTACTTAACAACTCAACGGGAGAGTCCCTAAGCTAGATTTTAAATACAGCTATATATTCTCCGATTTATCGGGCAAAATGTAAATGTGTACTCGCTTGTAAACGGATTAAGAGAAATTTTTCAATAAAATAATCCTCGTGGTCTTTGTAATGCGATGAAATGGCAACCTTTGAACGAAAACATATCAACAGGACATTGTCCAATAAAGAAAGCATTTAGATAACAAGGTATAATATTTTCTTATTTCTCTTTCGCCATAATTGATTGATCGTAACCCATCTCGTTAATTTGTTTTAAAACAGCAATAAAAGTCAATCGATGGGATCAGAATCAATTAAAGAGAGGGCCGACAGTGTGTAATTCGCCAGAGATTACGGTAGTCATGGATATAGAGATGATATCAATGCCTTAAAACGCCACTTTTTATTTCATTGTGACGAAGAACACGTTCATAACCCCCCTCGATTCTGACACGTCAATGATAAGATCAATGTTTGATTGAAAATCCCTTTCCTTATTTGTCACTAAAACAAGAGTAAAAGAAAGAAGAGAGAAAAAAAAAAAACTTTTGGAAAATGGTATGTTGTTTTCGTGAAATTGTCGGTCACACAGGCCTTTAGATCGCTTTAATCCGACTGACAAAAAAAAAAAAAAAAAAAAAAAAAAAAAAATTGGGGTGTAAAAAATGATACATTTTTTTTTTACACCCCATATTTTTTGGTAAGTCGGATTAAAGCGATCTAAAGGCCTGTGGTCGGTCACAAAGCAAAGATCAATGGAAAATATATAGATTTTTTTTTTCAAATAATTAAATATGCATATTGAAATATCAGATTTCAAAATATTTTTAAAATATTGAACATATACCACTGTAGATCTGTCCCTTCTCCTGTTTTCTGACCCCTCACTGATATATAAAACCAAATTTTAAAAGATATTTTGAAGGTATCACAGTGTGAACAGTCCAACATAATATTACCAATTACATTTCTTTGGGAAAAAGCACTTTAATAAAATCTAATCCCTTATGGCATTCTATATATTATACGACCAAAAAAAATATGTATATGTTTATTTTATTTTATAGGTATGTTAATTAGTGTGTCCTCCATGATTTTATCATCATAATTTTTGTTCACTTTCATTCTCCATACTGGAATTTCATGTACATCTGATCCGAATTTGTGTACTCTGTAATATTTTACATTGTCATGTACCGTGTGTTTAAGATGGTTTTGATAGAATAAATGAACTTGAACTTGGGTAACATTAGCAGATAAATTTATTAACTAATGTATATTAGAAGCACCATGGTCAAAAACAAAAATCATACTGATATATTTTTGCATATGTGGTGTCTTTTAACATTTTCCCCAAATAATATACCTGTATCATAGACAGTTTACTCCACGTGGTGTGTCTAAGTAATCAAAATCAATTTGATGGCTAATGTTACCCAGGACCCTCGTATTAAACCCATAATTTAATTCCTCTAAGTTACCCCTCCTACATATTTAAGAATTTTCTATGTTGTCACATTATAGTGTAACCCTCCAATACAACAACTTCAAATGGACTTGTAGAGTACCCCCCCCCCCCCCCCCCCGGAAAATAGGTTCTAGAGTATAGGATTTCCCCCACGGAAAAATGACTAGAGTAGGAATCCCCTTACGGAAATCCCACCCCAGATTCAATTTTCCGGGGAGAAATCCTACTCTGTGTAATAGTTATAGAGTGCGATTTCCCCCAGAGCCAATCCCTCCATAAAATGTCATGGCTGTACTTATGTATGGGGGGGGGGCACATTGTTACAAGTGTCCATTCTTCAAAATGGCGAACAGTTCCATTGAAATATACGAAGTATGAAAATTTTAAATATCCTTTTCCTCAGTTACTGTCCAACCAATTCTCTTGAAGCAATAAAATCTTATGCTTTTCATCAGGTTAAACTGGTTTCTGAAAAAATTGGTAAAATGTAATCGGTTGGAGACAAAACTGCATCCACGGAAACAAAAAGGAATTTTATTTTGAATATATATTTTTCTTCAATTGTATTTCAAACTAAATGTACATGATATACTGTATTGTATATTCAATTAATTTATTTGACAACACCATCATACATTGGCATGTAGTCAGAAATATAACAAACAATAACATACATAAAAAAGTGTCTCTCCAAGACTCTGGTTTATAGATATCAAAAATAGCTCCTGTTGCCATAGAATTCGAAATTTAAAAATGAGCATTTTATTTCTAAAAATTTAAACACTGGGCCTTTAAGAATTTAAGAGCAAACAAATTGTTTTATCTCTAGCCTAAAGGCGGCCTGGTATACATTTTAAAAATTGTGAACACAAAAATTGCGCCGACAGAGGATATTGAGACATTGAAGTTTACAATCTTTTGAGTGACTAATTTTTCAATTTCCTATGAGTTAAAATTTTAGGTTGAAACTCAATGATTTGAACTATGTATTCTAAGATTTCATACTTAATTTGACAATTCTTGTGTAGAAAACACTCATATTTCTATTAAAAAATTAGTTGACTTTCATATAAACTTTTAGTCAAAATTTCGCGATATGATTTAAGCAGGGGAAATCCCATCGTCGGATACCCACGGTGATCTTGTCTTTTACTCATCACCCACGGGTGATGAGTAAAAAACGAGATCACCAGTGGGTATCTGACGATGGGGAAATCCTACTCTGAGAACGAAATGGGGGAAATTGGCTCTGGTGTGAGATTTCCTCGCGGGGGGAAATCTTACTCTAGAGTACAGATTCCGGGTAGAAACCTGGCTGTGGAGGAAATCCTATTCTACAACACCGGTTAGTTTGCTTGTCAGGAAGTTTTGTTGTCCAGAGGAAATACCTCTCCCTTTCCTGGGTCCACCCTTTTTGTGGGCGTTTTCTTTCCTTTTTTTGGTGGTAATTTCAGGTTTAAGAGTTTATTCATGCATGTACTTTGAAGATAATACCATTGGCAATATCATCTGTAAGTATAGAAACAGTCACTCCGCTGTGGCAGTTGACTATCTTATTTGGAATTCTATCAATTTAATCCCCAAACCTCTCTGATATTTATACTTAGACAAAATGATAGAAATATATTAATATCACTCCTTATTTAAGTTTGCATTTCAGACAAAGCAAATATAGTGCCTTCCTTTTATATCAGATAAAAAGTAAGGGTAGCTGATGAGGGTGGGAGGGAGCATGGGTTCGTGACACCACTGTCAGAAGTGTGGAAAACAGAACTATGTGTTTCTGACCTACTACCCCCCCCCCCCAAAAAAAAAAATCTAACTTTTATTCAGTTTCTATTAGAGTGTTTCAAAGAATAATGCCCCACCCCATGCAATTTTTTATTTTTTCGTTGACTTATTTATTTCGTCTTTTTGACTTTTAATGTTGGTCGTTTCTTTTGAAGTCCACCCCCCCCCCCCGTGGTCCTGACACTTTTTTTTGTATACTAGCTAATGTTTTAAGTCGACTCAGAGCATATGATCTAACCACAGACACTTGGGGCATGGATCCCCCTTTCGATTTTTTTAAATATGGGATCGACACACTTTTTTTCCTTATTCGTGTTTTCTAATATACATTGCAAGTTATCGATAATGTAACCCTTTGTATGACCTGTTTTTAAATATCTTGTTTTCGACTGATACATAAAACAAGACATAGACAAAAGGGTTACATTATATCGATAACATGTAAAACGTATTTAGAGTACATATATAGGAAAAAAAGTGAGTCGATCCAAGATTTAGAAAAAAAAATGAAAGGGGGTTCTATACTCATTTATTCAGGAACGATAACTCTAATTTCTAGAACTAAACCAAAACAAGGAAGTACCTTTGTATGTAGATATCCATTTCCGTATTTTACGAACTGTCAAAAATACTTGTGTCGCAAGGTATAGATTACTATTCTATTTCACGTAGATACCAGTAACAAACTAGATTTTTAAAATTATATATATATGTGCATGTTTATAAAGAAAAACATGTATGCTGGGAAGAGGCGTACATACATCTAAAATTATATCCTTGAAATAAATTAACCATGTTTTGTTTATAAACTTTTCTTTCGCTCACATGAGCCAAAGGCTCAAAATGATCTTCTCTGATCGAAAAGTGTCCACGACACCGTGTAACGCATATTTCCCTATTACAATTCTTGTTAAAAATATCCACAAAAACATTATTTTTATCTTCTTTAGAAAGTATTGGAGAACCAAAAATGGATCCAAGGCACAGTGTCAAGGACGTGACCCGATGCAGTGTGTGTGGGACTTCAGTGATTGACATGTACTGTGAGGTCTGTCATGTCAGCCTTTGCAAGCTTTGCACCGCAGAACACATTTCTGATGAATATGACAAACATAAAGTGGTTCCATTTGAACAAAGAAATTCAAACTTGATATATCCAAAATGTGCAACACATCAGTCTAAAACTTGTGAATTTCAGTGTAGGGAATGTGACACATTTGTTTGCTCTTTATGTATGGCATCAGAAATACACAGGGGTCATACATTTTCCATCCTGTCAGAAATCTACAACTTAAAGAAAGAAGCTATCAAAAAAGACACAGAAGAATTGAAAAAGATAGTTTCCCCAAAGTATGAAGAAATTGCCAATTACATCGAATCAAAGATAGCCAGCTTGGACGAGGAATATGCGAAACTTACGGAAGAGGTGACAAAACATGGAGAAGTTTGGCACAGAGAAATTGACAAGGTCCTCAACAAAACAAAAAATGAAATTGATGACATTAAACACCAACATTTGACTGTTTTGCAGAAACATTTGGAGGAAACCAAAGAGATTCATTCTCTTATTGAGCAAACAATTGTTTCAATGAAAGAAATGGAGGGATCGAATGAAATGTCTCTAACAATGGCATACAAGTCCAAAAATAAAGAATTCCGTAAATTTCCCCCAAGACTTCAAGTGTCACTTCCAACATTCATTCCAAAAACAATGGACAGGGAACAATCTTCCAAATTGTTTGGAACTTTAATACCATTATCTATGGCAAGCGTAGAAAATGGCTATAAACAGATACTCAAAATTACACCCCGAAAACTGTTGGATAAACCAGAGCTAATCACCACCATCAGCACCGAGTATGAATACCTTTGCTGTGTGACTTGTTTCAATGATGAAGAAATCTGGACAAGTGGAGTTGTAAGCGATATAACATGCTTCGACAGTCACGGTTCACTAATAAAGACTATAAAAACTAAGTCTGGAGGATGGTTGTACGATATAGCAGTTACTGCCGAGGGAGATCTAGTGTATACTGATTGTAACACAACAACAGTGAATAAAGTAAAGAATGGTCAAACAGAGGAGATAATCAGTCTTCAGGGATGGGATCCCAGAAATCTCTGTGTTACCTCCTGCGGTGACCTCCTGGTCATAATGTTTCGCGATGATAAAACAGAAACCAAAGTCGTTCGTTATTCAGGCTACACAGAGAAACAAACGATTCAGTTTGATGATGAGGGAAACCCGCTATATCCAGGCAACAGCAACATTGAATACATCACTGAGAACAGAAACCTGGATATTTGTGTGGCTAACTATACAGCTGGTGACGTAGTCGTGGTCAGTGAGGTTGGAAAACTCCGATTTAGATATACTGGTCAACAATCTACGGAAAATGACAAAACTTTTCAACCTCATGGCATCGCCACGGACAGTCAGTATCAGATTCTGATTGCGGACTACAATAACAGTCGTATTCACATCTTAGACCAAAACGGACAATTTATCCGCTATATAGATAACTGTGGTCTAACGACACCATACGGTTTGTGTGTCGATTCAGACGACAATCTGTTTGTGGCTGAATTTTCAAATGGGACAGTAAAGAAAATCAAATATCTAATGTAGATAATATAAGATAAAGGTAAATTGAGTACTCACTATAAATATGTTGCTATCGATTTTTGACTAAAATATCACTAAAGAAAATGTGCTGCAAATAAATTAAGCCAGACCTCAAAAGGGTAGTCTTATCAAGTTTCATCGTGATTAAAAAAAGAGAGAGAGTCATCAACCACATTGCCCGTCAATTAAAGAACATAATATTTTGAAATATACATACCTTGCCACTATGGGATAAAATAACTTCAGTACGGCAACATATTCAAAGGAACACGATTGAAATTGGTAAATAAGTTATTTTTCGATGATATATGATACTGATTATTATGATAATTTCTTAATGTTACATGTGTTATTCAAGAGGAAAAAAAACTTTGAAATTTTAATGGCAAAACTGAACTCGGGATTAACACCTCTGTAAAAGATTGCGAAAAGTTTGTAAAAGACAGAAACGCTTTGAATCAGTAACTTACAGAAATGTAACGGCTAGGGGGCAGATCCAGGGTTTTGCAAAAAGGGCCTAGAGGGGGCTTGATGAATACTGAATACACAATCCTTGAAAATAAAAATTAAACAGAGATGTACCAACCCCTCCGATTTTTCATTTTGAAAAGAAGCAAAATCGGCTAATGAAAAGAGGACACCTATAATTTACATCATTATCCTATTATGGATCAGCGCGGATATCTGGCTAATATAATACCTTAAAATTCTGCAATGATATCGAAAATAAATATTTCTTATGGAATTACAAAAAGACGTACATTTTTATGCCCCCGTAATCGAAGATTCGGGGGTATATAGTTTTTGCCCAGTCTGTCTGTTTGTCCGCAAAAACTTTAACATTGCCCATAACTCTTGATTGGTTGGAGCTATGACTTTCATTTTTCACATGTGTGTTCCTTGTGACAAGACCTTTCTTTGAGTACCATCATTTTTTACCTTGGAGTTTGACCCAGTTTTGCAAAACTTAAACCAACTTTAACCTTGGCTATAGCTTTTGAACAATTGACGCTAGGGCTTTCATACTTCATTGGTGTATTCCTTGTGACAAGACCTTTCTTCGGATACCAACAACTTTGACCCTTTGACCTTGGAGTTTGACCTACATTTGAAAAACCGTAACCTTGGTCATAACTTTGAAACAGTTGGAGCTAGGGCTTTCATACTTCACATGTGTATTTCTTGTGACAAGACCTTGCTTTGGGTATCAACAACTTTGGTCTTGACCTAGGAGTTTGATCTACATTTGAAAAGCTTTTACCTTTGCCATAACTTTTGAACAATTGGCACTAAGGCTTTCATACTTTTAACAAGACCTTTCTTTAGATACCAACAACTTGGACACTTTGATCTTGACCTAAGAGTTTGACCTACTTTAAAAAAAATTAACCTTGGTCATAACTTTTGAACAGTTGGTGCTAGGGCTTTCATACCTTACATGTGTATTTCTTGTGACAAGACCTTTCTTTAGATACCACCAACATGGACCCTTGGAGTTTGACCTACTTTTGGAAAACTTTATTCTTGGCCATAACTTTTGAACGCTTGGTGCTAGGGCTTTCATATTTCACATGTGTATTTCTTGTGAGAAGGCCTTCTTTTGGCATCATTAATTTTGACCATTTGACCTTGACCTTGATGTTTAGACTTACTTTTGAAAAAGTTTTCCATATCTATTCAAATGTTGCTGCTACATGTAGGGCTTTAATATTTCACAGGTATATTCCTCGAGACAAGACCTTACTTTGGGTAACCAACATATTTGATTTGCATTTGAGAAAGTTTAACCTTTGATATGAGTTGCCATACGGGACATCATTGTTTCACAAACACATCTTGTTTTAGTAATTGTCTTAAAGTTTAACCTTTCTACCAGGGGTTATGTTGTTTTGGTATTTATCTCGCACGAAGTAATAATATATAACATGCGAAAAGACATATGTCAAGATGTAAAATACGACTCTTCCGGACTTAATTGTTACGCGGAAAATCCTTTTATTTTATTGTCATTGTTTAGAATGTATAGTTTGTTGTTGAAAATCATAGTCAGCGCTGACAATTCCCGAACACATATAAAAGTATATTTCATGCTAACTTTATATAAAATTACAAAAACTAAAACGCGTGTTAGCTTGATATTACTTCAATGAATCTGGGTTCAACAATAAGAGGAAAACTTAGGGTTGAGCCATAATTAGTATTAGAAGGAAAAATTAACCCCGTAATAGATAATGCTGGCTGGTTTAGGACACACATACAATAAAAAGGACTATGCTCCTTCCTTTAATTTGACTTGTCAATTAAAAAGACTATTGACCAAAAATTGATTAAAAAAAAAAAACAGTCTTATAAATCGTGTCATTTACCAGCACCGTAGAGACAATTCGTTTTTTTTTTCATGAAGAAGAGGAAATATTTTATTGCTTATTAGGTTTGTTAGACACAATACATGCACATACAAAGACTCGGCGGACTGTCTACAGTTTGTCGGATTGTTAACGTCCAAAGATGGCGAGGCCAAACCGAGCCTATTTTCAGATTTAAGCAACCAGAGAAATTTCGTTGTCAGTAAGTAATAAATCTAATGAGTGCCGTATTTTGTTGAGTACCAACTATTAGGAAGAAATAACGTTTAAAGACTTTCCGGATACCTTGTTGGCAACGCACTTTTAAAAAAAAATTACGAACTTTGAAATTTTTTGAAAATTGAAACAAAATCAATGCATTTTGAAAAAAAAGACAAAGTGCGTTAAATTTAGGACAAGAGCAAAGCACTTAAAAAAAAAAAATTAAAAGTGCATTCAGAGTGTACATCAACATTTTTTATCATGGAGACACTTAACGCACGTTGAAAATGTATGTATAAAAAAAATCCGGAAGTGACGTCATCACCGAAAAGTTATCCAACTAGGTTCAACTACTTATTCATCATACTAAAATTTGCAAGAATATTGACCAAACTGTGCACATTTTTTTAGAAGTGCGTTAATATAGTCACACTTTGCGTTATATTAACGCACTTTGAAATGATTTTTTTTAAGTGCGTTAACTTGGTACCAATTTTAACGCACTTTGATTTTTTTTTCAAAACCGAGACGCACAAGACTATAAAATGATGCTTAAAAGGGGGGGGGGGCTGATGCTTAAAAGGGGGAGGGGTCAGCTTAGGGGTCGCAATTTTGGGTCAAAATGTAGTGATTTTTCAAAAAATAATTTTAATGCCATTCAGGAAGATTGTTGAAAGCGACAGTTTATGCTTTATAAATAAAACTTCCATTCGTTTATGTTCCTAATTTTTGTAGCCTGAGAGTTATAACCCCTGCAAACCATAGTTAGTAAGTTGTCAAAAAACTGTTTGACTTACCGGTTTTTCAAGTAAGAAATATTCTTTGGTCAAAACAACAAATTAAAATTTTCTTTGCAATAAAATGCTCTTTTCAAAATATCTAGCCGTTTCATCTACGAGTACTTAAGAGTTTAAATTAAATTAAAATTATTTCATATATGTTTATGCAGTGCAAGCTAGCATTATTATATATTTTTATATATATCTCTTACTAGAAAAACTGTAAAGTCAAAAACAGTTATATATTTTTTTATCAACTTCATTATTATGGTTTGCAGGGGAGTAACAGGCCACAACAATTAGGAACATTAACAAATTTTGGACACTCTTAGATCTGTCTGCCTTTATCAGAACCTTAATGTGCCAAAACAGGCGGCAATAACATCGCAATGTATATTAAGTTTGCCATTACATTTTGCTTCCAGATCGTCAAAAAAAAAAATTAAAAACACCAAATGAAATTTAAAAAAAAAATCAGGAGACTGGTGGGAGTTCAACTATCATGATGTAAATTTTGAATTTACTGGATGGAGATAAATACAAAATTTACACTTATTATATGCTGAAAATTTTGCATTTACCTCCTTCCAGTAAATTCAAAATTAACATGATACAACTTTATTGAAACCTATATCGTTCTAAACTAGGGATGGCAATATATCGAATACAGAATTGCTAATCGGTTAATCGCAAGACGTTCCGACCGATTAGTCGGTTAATCGTATCAAAATACACATATTTGGACATCTTTTTTCAGGTAGCTCTATTCAAATACACAAGAAGACTAAAAAATGTTAGAAGTTAGAAACATTCCGTTTATCTTGATCAGGAAATTACATATGTACATGTACATATATTTTATTTCAATTTTATTATACAAGAAAAAAATTAAGAAAAACATGAAACATGCGTGCCTGTAAAATCAGATGTCTCACAAGTTCATTCTGCATTGTCACCATAATCAAAACTATGTCTGAACTTTCACTTAATTTACAATGTTTGTCTATTTTATTTTTTCCGACTAACCGATTACAGATTTTCTAACTGATTACCATTGTTCCGACCGAGTAATCGGTTAACCGGTTACAATTATATTGCCATCCCTATTCTAAGCACATTTTTTAAAGGATAACTGCACTTAACGCTGGGTTTGGGGTCTTTTTTTCGTCGCTTCTGTTGCTTTTATATCTTAACCTTATTTGTCTTTTGTATATTTACTAACGAATTCTGTCAATTTGGCCCAAAATTTAAATGTTAAAATGATTTTAGACTGTGATACAATAAAATAATTCTATGTTTATTGTCCTTACTGTTTTCCAAATATAGAGAATTTACACTTACCTGCCCTTGATAAAACATTAGGTATGCATGAGAAGTGGAGCTAACATTGTAAGAATGGCTCTAAAATTAGACTAGATAAATAACAATAACATGAATAAAAATACAAGATCACTCTTTCCCATCTCCCCCTTTATTCTGTATACGGCACAAGTACACTATTAACAAAGGTTTCAAAAGAAATTAACAATATCAGCACGTCCATGTAAGGAAAGAATACTTTGAATCGATGCCTGACAATTCAACGTGTTCGAGCACAGTGTCCTAGTTAGCACAAAACATGCTACCTTACAAGTCACGTGACAGAATTTAATATTCACAGTTACCTGAGGTAAGAAATCACGTGGGGAATTATAATATTCAACATGTCATAGCCCTTGGTTACAACAGAGAAGGCGAATGTAAGAAGCATTTTTTTCTCTTTTAAACCATG